TGAGGGTTCCAATTAAAACACGTTTCTGGGTATTGGTACCTAAGACTTAGGAATGTCCATGGGCTGAGGTGGTGGAGGGTCTTCTCAAGAGACAGAAAAGCAGGGTGATCCACCAGGATCTGCTTAGTTAGTCCCTGGGAAGTGAGTGCTGTGAGTGTGGAGAGGACATAGCAGAAGGTTTGCTACAGAGCTGGGGATGAGACAGAGCATGACACTGGGAGGGATGGAGGGAAAGGTGAAAATATGCAATTAGCCTGCTTTCCTCCCTATTTGGAGTGGCCTCTGGTTTTCCAGGGAGTTCCTGCTGAAGTTGGAGCCTGGGACAAAGCAAGCAATGAGAAGAGGTAAGAAGTTTGGAGGTCGGGAAGATATGTGTGATCCCCTGGACATGAATACATCAGGAGAAGGGAGGCTGCCATGAGTGTTCTTCTACAGGTCTAGGGATGAGACTGGAGGATTGGACTTGGAGGAACAAAGGTAGAGGTGAAAATCTATAGTTAGCTTACATGTTTCCGCACCAGAGTGTGCCTCTTAGTTTTTAACATTTCTATATCTGTGTATCTGTAAAGACCAGTTCTACATACTTCTACGCCTGTATGTGCATGCCTTGTCATGGACTCTACTCCTCAGAGCATTTGCGCGAGTTTTCTTGTGTCTCATTGCCAGATTACCTTGGCATATGTGTATCCCAGTGTTTACTTTTTCCAATGTTTGTCAGTTTCTGTATCCTTGTGTCTCAGTGGTATCTTGTAGCCTCCTGTCTACCCACCTCAGCATTTACGTATTAGGGTTAGCACTTTGTTTTGTCTCTGAGATTTGTTTTCCATATGCTTCATTTTGCGTGCCAGTTCTTTGTGTTCTAGTAACTCAGGTTCTGTGTGTTCCTTTGTGTGTGTATACCAGTGTCTCTGTGTACCAGTATTTCGTACTATTGCCTCTGTATTATCTGACACCTGTCTTAGAGCTTATGTGTGTGTTAAATATTTATTCATGCCAGTGTGTCTGTGTGTTTTAGTGACTATGTATGTTTTCCTTTGACTGTATGAATCATAATATCTGTATGACAAGCACTTGGATTATGTCTACATAATTCAGTTTCCCAAGATTTATGTATACAAAGGTTTTTTGTGTCTGTGGTTCCTACAGTATGCTGTGATCTGCTATCTGTATGTCCTTGGTTGTCAGTAAGTCTGTGAGTGTGTTTCTAACACTTAATACTTCTCTATGCTATAAATTCTATCATTCTCTGTGTTTCAGTACCAACATAGCACTATCTCTGGGTATCCTTATAACTGTAGTCTTTACTTCTGACCTCTTCTCCATGTGCCTTGGCTATATGTTTAAATGCATATGTATCCTTACCCTTGAATGTATTCAGGTTTAGCAGGTCCCAAGCTTCTTTTCTAGTATCTGTATCTTCCTGTCTCTGTGTGCCCATAAAGCTCTGCGTCTCACTACCTGCGAATCTAGTGAGTTGCTATTGTTTGAGTGCACGTGTGTGTATGTGTGTGTCCTTTTCTGTGTAGCACTTAATTTTTATGTATTCCTGATTATGTACCAGTGATTCTTTACATATTTCTCATTTTTGTATATTCATAAGTCTTCATATGTCTTTGAATCTTTGTGCATCCCTGAGTCTGTATATGCAGAAACTTTGAGTCTGTATATGCAGAAACTTTACGTGGCTTTGAGTGTATTTGCATGCTATCTACTGGCTAAACAAGGCAACTTAGTACCCTCCAGACTCTGTATTCCACTCTCAATTTGTACTTATTTCTGGGTGACCCTAACTCTTTGCATATATTGGACACTCTGTGGTCCAGTACATGTGGTACTATATTCTGTGTCTGTGTGTCCCTAAGTTCCTTTGCTGCAGACAGTGTCACATGCTCATGGTCTCCATACGCTGCCTTCTATATGCCTAATATGGAAGAGTCCCCAGGCCTGGCATCTCCAGAACTTCCTTTCTCATGTCTAAATCTCTGGCTTTTGCTACAGCTCTCTTCTCTATCTCTCCCATATTTTGTCAGTGTCTCTGTGTGACAACTTCTAGTACTGAACTTGCACTCTCCTAGTCCCCGAGTCTTTGTCTTGGGCTCCATATGATGGTATTCCTGATTCTGTAAATTTTTTGTCTGAGTATTTCTTGGCATCTGCTTCTTTCTCACTCACTGTCCTCCCTACTTTGTCTTTGCCTCCCTATTTTGTCTGGGGTCTGGAGCCACACTTTCAAATCATAACCCACTACCTTTATGACCTTAGGTTGAAATTACTGTTCTTATCCCTTCATTTGTAGCCTTGGTTTATTGCCTGATGTGTGTCACTCTTACAGGTGTCCTCGGGTATATCATGATTCAATGTCTTTGCATCTGTACCTTTCTTATCTTCTACATCCTGATCTATATTCTGTGTCTAGTTTTCTTTCTTCTTATCTCTACATTTCCAGGCATATCTATCTATTTCTGTTTCCAAATCTACCCTATGATCACGTGACTAGGTTTGTGGGTTCACAGTCCGATGTCTACTACTACTCCGTCTTCTTCCACTCTGTTGCTGTACTGCATTACCGTGTTCCACTGTATCTGCGTTTTCTTATGTCTGTGTTGTCTGGTCTGATTTCTGTCTCTTTTGGTTGTTTTCATTGTCCAGGGCTTTCCTTCTTTGTTTATAGATCTTGGAGTATGTGGATCTCTGATGGTGACTTGTTCTTCTGTATGTGCTGATATCACTGAATCTTTGTCATTGCATCTGTGACTCTGAAATTTCTGTTTCCACACCTTGCATGTCTCTGGCCATGTGCCTCTTATTATCATCTCCACCTATGTCTACAAATCAGAGTGTTGGTATATTTCCATGTTTCTTTTTTCTCAATATATGTTTTTATTTAAATTAGAAACATGAATGCTTCACATGTCAGTCCCAGCTCCCTCTCCCACCCCGCCTCCCTTGTCCCTCCACCAGCCCCCATCCCAATCCCCACATCATTCCCTGGGGAGGGTGAGGCCTTCCTTGGGGGGATCTCTAAAGTCTGTCATTTCAACCTGGGCAGGACCTAGGCCCTTCCCCATGTGTCCAGGCTGAGAGAGCATCCCTCTATTTGGAATGGGCTCCCAAAGCTCATTCATAAACCATGGCAAACACTGATCTACTACCCAAGGCCCCAGTGATTTCTGTGGCCTCCCTCCTGACACTACATTCATGGAGTCTGGATCAGTCCCCTGTTGACCTCTCAGCCATCATTTTGGGATTCAAGAGCTCCCATTTATCCGGTCAGCTGTCTTTGTGGGTTTCACCATCATGGTCTTGACCCCTTTGATCATCACTCCTCCATATCTGTCACTAGGTTCCAGAATTGCAGTTCAGTGTTTCACTGTGGGTATCTGTCTCTGCTTCTATCAGTCTCTGGATGAAGGTTCTAGGATGGCATATAAGGTAGTCATCAACCTTACCATCAAAGAGGGGCTATTAATGTAGTCTCTCCACTATTGTTCAGTTTGCCAGTTGGTGTTATCCTTGTAGATCTCTGGAGATCTCACTAGTGTCAGCTCTCTCCTCAAGCCTATAATGACTCAATCTATTATGGTATCTTTCATCCTGCTCTCCTCTATTCTTACCTCAACTCAACCTTCCTGCTCCCCTATGCCTTCTTCTCCCCTCCTCTTATTCCCTTCTCTTTTTCTTGGTTCCCTCTCCCCTCCCCCGATGTTCCCAATGTGCTCAGGAGATGTTGTGTCATTCCACTTCCCTGGGGGTATCAGGCATCTCTCTTGGGAACCTCCTTGTTTCCCAGACTCACTGGCACTGGGATTGTAGACTCACACTCCCCTGATCCATATCTAAAATCCATATATGAGTGAGTACATACCATGTTTGTCTTTTTGTGTCTGGGTTACCTCACTCAGGATGGTTTACTCTAGTGCCTGAAAATTTCAAGATTCCATTGTTTTTCTCTGCTGAGTAGTACTCCTTTGTGTAATTGTACCACATTTTCTCTATCCACTCTTCAGTTGTGGGACATCTAGGTTGCTTCCAGGATCTAGCTATTACATATAATGCTACTATGAACATAGTGGAACAGACAATCTTGTTGTGTGAATGCGAATCTTTTGGGTATATGCCTAAGAGTTATTTCCATGTTTCTAATTTTTCATCCTTGGTTGATTTTTTTGGACTGTGATCTTAACAAGTATCTTCGTGGTTATCCTTGTATCTTTATGTCTCTGTGATCATAATATCTCTGCTCCACTCTGAAGCTGTGTGTCTATTAGATTTTATGTTGTTATGTATCATTCCTCACATTTGTCATTCTGTGTTTGTCCCAAAGTCATCTTGTTTTTGTCTCTTTGCATTTCTAAGAAGGGACAGTAACTTAATGTCATGGGAATACTGAACCTCAGCAATAAAACATGTTTCTATCTCTGATATAGTCACTTTGGCACTCAGTTCTTTATGTCTTTGTGTCCATATGCTCATGATTTTTTCTTTTTATTGCTGCTGTTGTTGATATAGGTCCTTGTCTTATAGCTCAGATTGGCCTCAAACTCACTATGTAGCTCAGACTGGCCTTGAAATTATAGCTATCTTCTTGCCTCAGCCTTCCAAATGCTGAGATTATAGGCATGTGGCCTCACATCCACGTTTCATTATGCTGAGATTATGGGCATGTGGCCTCACATCCACGTTTCATTATGCTGAGATTATGGGCATGTGGCCTCACATCCACGTTTCATTATGCTGAGATTATGGGCATGTGGTCTCACATCCACGTTTCATTATGCTGAGATTATGGGCATGTGGCCTCACATCCATGTTTCATTATGCTGAGATTATAGGCATGTGGCCTCACATCCATGTTTCATTATACTGAGTTCCCTGTACTTGTGCTATGTCTCCTCTGTCACTGTATCTCCACATTCTTGTCATTTTGCCTGTTTTCTGGACGTGACCTATGTCTTTGGTTGGGTGCCTACTGCTATTTAATGGTTATTCTTGTTCACTCATTTATTTTACAAATATTTATTAAGCACTTACCACATGCCATGAACTGTGGCTACACAAAGGATTCAGAACAGATTCTTGCTCTCAGAGATCTTACAGGTTTAGCCAGGATCCAGACAAGTAAATAGATGATTATTACAAAGTATGAAAAGTGCTACGAGTTTGAATGGGACATAAACTAAGTGTCAAACCTAACCTCATGGAAGGCCCAGGAGAGGAGACAACTAAGACTTGAAAGATGAACCAAGTTTACCTCGATAAGGAAGAGTGCCCCACACAGAAGGGTGAATACATATAGAAGTCTAACGGTGGGGACCATCATAGCTTATTAGGGGCATTCCAAGAGAGCTATAGGTACACCATCGTAGGAATAAGGGAACGCTATGAGCAGGACTGACTCGTGACTCAGTGAGGCTTTGGTTTTAAGAAATACAGTCTGTGGGTAATGAAAAGAGAAAACGAAGTTGGGAACGTGAGGTTGAGGTGGGGTAGGGGGTCCTGGGAGGAATAGATGGGGGCTTGGGGGGTTAAGAAGATCAAAGTCCATTGTATACATGTGCAAAATTCTCAACAAATGAATAAAAAAGAAAGTCACTTCCAGGGCTAGTGTGAATTTGGAGGGACCAGAGAGTGTAAAACAAGAACCACAAGGGTAGCGAAATGAAGCTTTTTGTTTAGTTCTGTTTAGCTCTGTCTTTGTGCTTCCTGATGTATTTGTCTCTTAGCACAGGTATATGCGGCCTTTATGTGTGCTTCCATGTACCCAGGCCTGTGTCCTGGTTGACTCCGTGCTCTGGCCTCTGGATTTCCAAATTTCAGACCTCCTAGCTCTAGGTCCAGGAGCCATCACAGAACATAGGCAAGGTAGGGCTGACCCAGCAGCTGTTCTACATGAGAGCGTTTCACCAGCCAGCATGAAGTCCAGCGGGGATGAAGCCTTGGTGACTCTTTCAGCAGCTTCTTTCCTAGTACCACTGGCACACCTGGCCCATGGTGCTTCCGTAAGTAAGACCCAGTAGGTCCTGTTACCAGCTGGATGTCTGTGTGCTGAAACTGTCCTGAGGGAGACAAGATACAGCACCAATTAGAACTCTGGGGAGGCCTGAAAGCAGGAAATCTAGGGGCAAATTGGCAGGGTAGAGCATCAGGCCTAGAGGAGGGGAGAGGCTAGACACCGTGGAAAGCACGGAAGAGCCAGATGGCACAGGGCCGCGGTGGGGAAGTGGAGAGTCACGATGGCAGAGATAAAGAGAGCAGCTGGGCTTGGAGAAGACAAGAAGATATAGAGGCTCAAGGAGCCCTGGCGAGGTGAAGACATCTGTCTGACCTGTCATCGCTGGCCTCAGGTGTTGCCAGGGTCTTCTGACTAAGTTACAGTCTGGCTACCTATAGCCAACCTTCACAGACGGCCAAACATGCAGATGGTGCTCTAGAATACTAAGACCTTGTTACATCGTTCTCTGTTTAGAACCTTTCATGCCTTCTCCCCGCCCCATGCCTTTGAGATAAAGTCAAACTCCTCATGTTGACATTCAGCTTGATCACGCCAGCACTAGTTCTTCCGGTCTCCGTTCCTTTCAACCACACTCCTGCTTAGCTTTCCAAATGCAATGCCCACCCTCTTTGGAGAGGTCTTTCTTGAGCTTGGAGGCTGGGGAAATTTTCTCACCATCGGTTACTCGACACTCGCCCCTCCTTCTGATCACTAGTCTATAGCTGACTCTTTCCTTTTCTCGTACCAGGAGCTTCCTAAATGCAGAGTTTAGCTTCCATTTCTCTTTCCAGTTGAGAGCACTGAATGTGAGGGGCACACTAGACCTTCATCCTAAAGAAGGGTTCTGGGCTGGAGAGAAGGCTCCAAGGTTAAGAGCACTTGCTGTCCTTACAGAAATCTTGAATTTGGTTGCCAGTACCCACATGGACCCACAAACTTCTTTAACTCTAGTTCCAGGGAATCTGAGGTCCTCTTTTGGCCTCTGGGGCTATCCAGTGTACACATGGTGCCATACATATGTGCAAGAAAAGCATTCATATACACAAAAATAAAAAGAAAGAAAGGAAAAGAAAGACGTTTCTGTTAGGACTGGTACACCGTGGCGCCTCTCAACCTCGGCAGCACTTACCTATTAGGCCACAGGCTGAGGGGCTGAGGCCTGAGGCACTGGCCACATAGAATCCCAAATGGGGTAGCTGTAGTGTGCTTGGGTGTCTGTACTGGTGACGAAGGATCACGAAATTGAGCTGGGGCCCAAGTTGGAGGGTGAGATGGGTTGCTGAAGCCACATGGAGCTCCAGCTGGGGCTTCTTCACCAGGGCAGGCTTGTCCCAGGGTAAGTTCAAGGTGCCCTCACCTTGCACGGATATCGAACTGAGGCTTACTGTAATAGTGTAGGCCCGGGGTTTATCTGAAGTGATTGTGATGATCTGGAAGTATGTACGGGTCTGGTCCTCGTGGCCTGGTCTTGGTGGTGCTCCAAGCAACCTCCCACTGACACGCAACCCTATAAGGGGGAAATGCAGGTATAGAGCACAGGCTTTCACCCCAACATTCACTTGGTGACCCACTGCACAGGCAGGTGTGAGGGTTCAGATGACATAGTACAGATTTGTGGCTAGAATGTATCTCTCATGCCCACCCTGACTCTGTGTAAGGGCAGCATGTACACATGCTTACCCTAGCGTGGTTATTTGCATGTATATGTGAATGTTTGCCCATTGCTGTATAAATCTGTGTGTCTGGTTGTATTCCGGTGAATATCTCTGGGAATATCAGTACAGCTGTATGTTTGAGGAAGATGACATGCTACAATGTGCATTTTTGGTTGTATGATTGTATGTGCCTCTGGATGTGTTGGTGTTCTATGTCTTCGTTGTTTGTAAGCTATTCCAGTGTGTATAGTGTCAGTATGAATGCACTAGATGCACATCAGTACGTACCATTTCTGTGCACTAGTCGACTTCATGTGTCTGATGTGGCAGAGAATATGTATTACTTCAGTGTATTTGATTCCTGGGGATTGGGACGAATCTGGAAGCATCAGGGCTTCTATGTCTGAATGTTCTGATGTGTATGGGTTACTGTATGGTTCATATTTGCATATTTAGGGCAAACGAATGTCAAAATAATTTACCATATGTAATGCTATATAAATCTGGCTATCTTAGCATTTTTACAAATGTGCTTGTTTTCATTTTTGTGATTTTAAATTTTATTTATTTAAATGTTGATTTATTAATTTTTGAGACAGTATCTTACTATGTGCTCTGGCTGTCCTGGTATTCACTATGTAGACCAGGATGGCCTTGAACTCACACAGATTCTTCTGATTTTGCCTCCTGAGAATGGGAATTAAAGGCATGCAGCATTATATCTAGCTTTTGATTTATTTATGAATTATTTATGTGTCAATGTTTTGCCAGCATGTGTGTATGCATACCATGTGCATGCCTGGTGTCTGTGGCAGTCAGAAGAGGGTGCTGGATATCCTGAAACTAGTTGCAGATGTTTGTGAGTCATATGTTTGTTTTCATATGTATTCATGTATATTACAAGGTACTATATATGCAATTATTTTATATATCATAAATATAAAGTATATGAATATATAGAGCATATATTATACTTACATATGTATTATATGCATATTATAATCATCTATACATATGTCATATGTATATGTTATAGGCCCTTAGGCCTCCGGAACTGTAAACCAACACAAACTCTATAAAGCAGTGCTCCATTATATAAAATATGTCATTATTTTATATACACTACTATAAGGTATATATAATAAAGTGCCAGATATCTAGGGTTATTAACATGAGAACACTCAGCTGTGGTCTTGTGTGGGAATGGAGTCCTTGGGTTCTCACCTGCTTTAGGGTCCTCTATGAGCTGCAGTAGGTCCCCTGGGCGCCCATCCAGTGTGAAGCAGATCTTCTCTCCTGAGTGAGGAATGTGGACCACAAAGTGGGGGTCCCCATCCACTGTAAGGCAGGAAATGAAACTCTGAAGCTATGAGTCTTGAAGGAATGGGAGAAAGGAGAGGGCAAGGAGAAGAGGAGAATGGAAGAATGTCTATTTTTTTAAGAGAGAGGGAGAAGAGGGAGAGGGAAAAGAAGAAAGAGTGGGAGAGAAAGTGGGGAGAAGGAGGGAGAGAGAGCCCGGTGTACAAGGTGCTTGGGGGGGTGAGTAGATTACCAGAGGACGAGAAGGTGAAGATGCCTGGCAATGTGCCTGCAAAGGATAGAGGACATACATTGATAAGGAACTGATGTAACACATCCCTAACCACCCTGGACCCGCCGGCCTCTGAATCCTATAGGTAAGGGCCAAATTCCTGAACTCAGTATTGCAACATTTTCTGGAATTTACTTCTCTTTATGCTTTATTCTATACTAGTCAAATTGATTTATTTGTTCTTGCCTGGTTTTTTTTTTTTGAGTCGGGCCTCACTGTATAGCCCAGCCTGGACTTGAACTCTTGATCTTCCTTCCCTCAGTCTCCAGAGGGCTGGGATCACACATGACCATCTCACTTGACCCTGAACTGACTGTTGTTATGAGTGCTTTGCCTTTTTTGCTTCTGCTTCCTGTTTTTCTTGCCATTTGAAATGTTTTCCTTTTTTTTCTTACTCAAAGGCAATTTCTAGTTATCCTTCAAGGGCAGACCAATTGATGGATTAATGGATTATTAGAAAGTGATTGCTCGAAAAGCTGCCTCTTTGGGCTGGTTTGCTCTGTCTTGCTAAGTGATGACTTGCACTGCTCTGAGATTGTGTAGAGTCCTATCACCAAGGAGATTCTCAGGAGAGGAAGCCTCTCATCTGGAGGCGAAATGTCTCTTCTTACAAATTACTTATGCTGTAGTGTTCTGTCACAGCAGGAGAACATGGATGAAGGGGATGGGGGGCTGTCTTGCCTTTTTATTGGAAAAAATTTCATATAATACACTTTGATCTTGTTTCCCTCTCCCCAATTCCTCCCAGATCCTCCTTACCTCCCTACATACTCAACTTTATATTTTTTCTTTCAAAACAAACAAACAAGAAACAAAACAAAAAAGAAACAGAAAACACAAAAATAAAAATTAAGAAAAAGCAAGCAAAAGACCACTAAGATAAAAACTGTCCAAATGAAATATTATGAGACAAAATGTCTACAAAAACACCATTGAATTCATTCTGTGCTGGCTAACATGGACATAGGACATGGACATAGGACCTGCCCTGATGTGTGACTGATACACTCAGTGAGACTCCATTGGAGAAAACGAATTCGCCAATATGTGTTATTTTAAATTGTCCAATTTATGGTAACTTGTTACAAACTGATGGAAAATGAATACATTGCTTCTGTTCTGGGCTCCCACACTGTCAGTGAGAGCTCCAAATGACACTGAATATAAACAAAGGTTAGAGGAGTCTTTGCCAGAGGAACCCCTTGTTTACCTTTTACTAGCTCCACGGAACTTTTAGAGTCCATATCACGTTCAACTCCTTCCAGGACCCTCTCAGGATTGCCATCCCAGTGCGGACTTCCTGCCAAACACAAAGAAATAAAAGGAATCTTTTCCATCTCTGGGTCAAAGAGAAGACAGGGTCTCACTGTGCAGTCCAGGCTTGCCTCCAACTACTGATCCTAATGCTGCAGTCTCCCAAGTGCCAGGATTCTATGTGACCTCCATGTCCAATCCTTTCTTCCTTCTTATGAGGAGAGTCCTCACTGGCTACCCAAACTAACCTGCTTATGTCTATATCGTCATAGGCCCTTTCAAGCTCAGACACACTCAAATTTCTTTCCCATAGCATCTATACATTCCTCTATTCGTTCACTCACTTATTCTTCCAGGCACTGTTTAGGCATCAGGATATGTTGGTGAGAAAGACATGTGTGGTTTCTCACCTGGTGAAACATATCACAGTCAACATTGTCAATGGCAGTGAATGCTATACAAAAAAAATGCTTTCCTTCCTTGGGCTTACAAGGGAAGGAAAGGCCTAAAGTGGCCTGTGGAGGAAGGTGGGTGAGAAAGATGATCTGAGATCCAAGGCACCAGCTGAAGTTTTAGGCGCATGGGAGGGATAAGGACTATAGGAAAGGGCAGACCAGTTGCATCAGGAGAAGCAGTAGCCAGAAAGAAGCACCTGAGTGATGACTGGCGAAGGCACAATGGGAGGAGCAGGGAAGAAAGCAGGCTCTAGAGTTCAGGGGATAAATGGGAGAGTGGGAGAAGGTGAAGTCGGTGTGGTGTAGGCATACACCATGCAGGCCATAAAGAAGACTTTCAACTTCATTCCATGTGTGATGGGAAGTCCTCGAGGGGCATTATATAGGAAAGGGACATTAATTGATTTGTTTCTTTGAAAAATTTCTTGGCCTGCAAGAGGGCAAGAGGAGACTGGTTAGGAGACAAGATGAGATATTTTAGATGAAATGATAGAGTTTGTCTGATTTGTGATAGTGGCTGGGATCCTGGGAAGTCAGTGGATTTGGAAAATATAATAGAAGTGGCATTGCCAGGATGTAGAGGTAGGTGGGATATTGGGGGAAGTGAGGAACATGGTATGGCAAATTTGCCCAAATTTGTGTTCCTGTGAACTAATGCTACCCCCTAACCCTTTCTAACCCTCTCCTATAATGCAACTCAAGAAATTCTTCTTTAAAAAAATTGAATAGTGGAGTGATGAAACACATTTCTTTGGGGACCAGAATGTATGGGTTCTAGTCTCCGATTAGCTATGTGACATTAAACAAGTTGTTTAACTTCTCTGTGCTTGAGTTTCCCTGTGTATAAAATACATATATCAATAGTTTCTTATGGGGAATTAAATGTTAGATTATAAACACGATATGAATAGAAGTACCCGTACATAGGGAGATTTGAAAACTATTATTTTATAGTCTTTGGGAAGTGTAATGGCAATTGCCATTATTTTCTGTAAAAATTATATCCTTTTATTAAGTAGGTCTGTTCACAGAGCACACAACAACCAAGCAGACCTGCCCTACTTAGTGATGTTCCAATTTATAATACCACATTCCCCCGCTGCTTGGGAGTCAGCAACCATTCTCTCTTTCAGCAAGACAAATGTCAACTCCAGTTTATTCAGTTTGCTTCTGTTTAGCCTTTCCAGTCTTATCTGTCAAGGTCTTTGATTCTGTGCCTATGTACTGAGGTCTATAAATGTTAACTAGTTCAAGGTCCCAAAGCAATCAAGGAAGCTTCTGGAGCATTACGTACCTCCTCCACTCTCAGCTCTCTGTGCTCACACATCCCTTGCTCTGCCTTGGCCCCCTGCCACCAGCACTCACCATCTTTGTCAGGGGTGAGGAAGGTATAGAAGACCGGTGGGTTCAATGACTCCACGAACTTGGACTCTACCAGAGACTCTGGCAGCAGCTGGAGCTTCTCTGGGAGAAGATGAAGACTGATGGTCTCAGGGAGAGTTCTGGAAGGCAGCAAGATTGGGAGATTTTGGGGTGATGCCTCCTAGCATAGGACCAGAGCTGTTGGTTATGGCCATTATTAGAATCCCTGGCAGGGATGGTCCCAGAACTTGCCTGGTGCTCTTGGGTCCTAGCAGCGGGTCTTGCTGATGCCAGAGTCTTTCAGTGGGCAGTGGAGAGATCAGAGTAGGGGTAAAGGAAGAAGGGAGCAGTTCCCTAGGAATAGAGGTGGGCACAGTACTGCTGGGGCTTGTGGAACTCAAGAGAGAGTTTGAGAATGTGCTAAGGCTCTCAGGAACCAGTGGCCTGGGCCTGGCAGGTAGTGGGATTTGGGCATGATAGGGAACTGGGGTTCTGGACTTGGAGAGTAGTAAGCTTGTAGAAGTTTGGTGAGATGAGGCACTAGGTTTAAGAGATGAAGGAATTTCAGGAGACTTGGGCAAGTCAATCCCTGATATAGGGTGTGGTAAATTTGGGGGACTCTTGGGAGCAAGAGTCTTGGAGCTGAGGAGTAATGGGTGTTTGGGTGTCTGAAATGTAGAGATAGATTTGGGCTGTGTACGGCTTTGGAGTGGCTGTGATATGGGTTCCCCAGGTGGAGGGTATGATGGGGCATCTGGTGGAGGTTGGGCATCTGATGGAGCAGGGAGATTGGAAGGAGGAAATGGATTAAAATGTTTCATAGTGCTACCTTTGGGCTGGGCAGGGCTGACAGGATTCAGAGTTATGACGTGTGTCCTAGAATTAACAAGTGGTATCACACCAGGATCCTGGTGTGATGAAGTGGTGGGCTTCAGAGGCAACGGGACATTAGAACTTGAAGGCACAGGGGCAAGAGGTTTCATCTTTAAAGTTGGCAATGCCAGAGTACTGGAGTCTTGTGCTGGAGTTTGGGGCTTTGGTTGTACTGAAGTTGGTAGGCTATTAGAACACTGTCCCAGTTTCCCCAACTCCTTGGAGCTGGGCACCTTCTTTTTAGGGGCATTAATAGCTGAGGTTGGTTTCATGGGCCTCGATTTAGAAGAGGCCCTGAGTACCGAGGCTGGTTGAGCTGTGCCTGTACCTAGGCCAAGGCTTTTGCTGGGTGAGGGTGTGACTGTGCTTGTCTTAGGTGTAGTGGACAGCTGGCTCATAGATTCCCCATTGGTCTTCTGGAGATGCACGACAACCAGTGAGGTCAGAGGTGTGACGAAGTTGTATTCAAGGGATAGGTTGAGGGCTTTAGCAGTTAGCAGACGGCGAGTGGTAGTGTCCCGGGCTTGGAAACGTGCCTCCAGCAGTTCCCGAATAGTGACATAGGCCCACAGGCGGCGGATAAAGTGGGGCACATTGAGGGCAGGCTTCCCCAGGCAACCAAAGGCTTTCTCACTGCTGTTGGTGACTTCTTCACTATGGCGGGCCACAAGAAGCTGACCATTGGGGCCACGGGCTGCTAGGTGGATGCCCAGTTCCTGCTCACCTGGTTGCACCTTGCCAGCCACCACCAGCTCAGAGCCACAAAAATAGTTAGGGAAATAGGTCCCTGGGGAGGCCCCAACCAAGCCACCCAGATAGTTCAGGTGCACATCTGCAAGCAGAGGCTTGGAAATCTCCTCGTAGAAACCCTCTAGCTGCAGAGCTGCATCAGAGTCCTCATAGATACGTCTTGCGTCTCCCCGGTTTTCCAGGGACAAACGGCGCAGTAGCGAGAAGTCAGCATCATCCCCAAAGGCCAAGCTGAAAAGAGATACCCTGTGTCCCAACGCCCGGCGGATGTTGGAAAGGATCGCACTGGGAGTTGTCACGCCGGCTGTGGGCTCCCCATCTGTCAGGAACATGATAAGAGGAATCTGCTCCACACCACGGCCCTTTCCAGGCTCCTGGTTGCTATGGTTCAGCACTGAAGCAGCTGCCAGCAGAGCTGCGTTGATGTCTGTCCCTAATTGGGGAGCAGACTGTGAGATCACGTTCTCAGGCCATTTCTTATCCCCACCGCAGACACACTCCTACTGCACCATGCTCCCAGGCTCATCCTTCCCACTTTATCTTTTCTCATGCTGTTCCCACTGCCTATCCTTCCTAGCTCCTTCAGGCTCACCCTGATTCACCTGATAACGGAACCCACGTGTCCTTGTCTTTTATCAATCCCTGTCTCAGACCATTCTTTGATTATTTCCCAGGGTGTGTGTGTGGGGGGGCAGGATTGTTTCATTCTCTAGTCAGATGACAGCCACCCGAAGACAGCACCACCACCTTCTTGCCACAGAAAAAAAGATGACTTAGATGGCAGAGGCAGTAGATCTGGGAGAGTGAATTACTTGAGACAGGATTTAACAAAAGTCAGAACCAGGGCAAATGCTTGGAAATAAAATGTATAATATTGCCCTTAAAAGCCTTAGTGATTTTTTGTTTTTGCTCTAAGGAAGAGGAAACTGAGATCCAAAAAGAAATTTGCTAAGATACAGGGGAAATCAACCATGTTCTTTCTATCACGAGAGGGAGATAGGAGGGGAACCATTGGATGAAAAGGTATGGTTATTTATGCCCAAAGTGAAAGTGATGTTTCTGGCAGTGTGACAAATGAGAGGCATGGCAGAATGAAGAGAAGGACTTAGAAATGTCCTATATCACCACAGCCTGTGCATTTGGATAGGCAGGTATCACACTTACAGCCACTGGCTTCCATTCGACTCAGGTAGTTTTTGGCACTATGGATATTTTGGACAGTGGCCTGGATTGAGCCTTCGGCTTTCCAGATGTTAACTTTGTCAGAAAAGGAAATGATGTTGAAGTAGTCGCTGGCTTGCATGTCACTGAGGATGGTGTTCATGGCCTTTTTTGTCTGTGGGAAAGGGATGAAGAGAATTGGAGCTCCATGAACTTCAAAGACTCTTCTCACAAGACACTTCGCTCTGATTACTTTATGGTTTTAACCCTATTTGACCTCTCCTCTCTGTGAGTTGAGGATATCAGGGCAAAATGTTTGTCAGGATTTATGGTAGACTTTGAGGTACACTGTCTAACATAGAAAATAAAGTTCAGCTCTTAACTTGAAAGAGTCACATCTCAAGTGTTCAATGACCATATGTGGCTGGTGGCTATTGCACTAGATAGTACAGAATTTGAGATTATCACCAAGAAAGTTCCAATGGAGCCACACATGGTGGTACATGGCTGTAAACAGCACTTGGAATACTGCAGCTGAAGGATTGCAAGTTCTAAGTGCCTGTGAGACATAGACTGTCTCAAAAACAAAATGAATAAGCAGAAGAAAGGTCTACTGGACAGTGTCACTCCCAAGGTTCCCAGTTCTGGTCTTGCCAGAACTCTCCAGTCTGTGTGGTCAACAGTTACTGAGCATGTGAACCTGGGATGAATGACGCCAGTACTTTCAGGTTGGAGGACCGTAAGATTACAGAGATGTATGGATGGCTGCTAGGCTTTGGCATGATTTACTTCCACTCAGATCTGCTTCTGATCCTCAGCCCCCTCTGTTTCCTCCACGTTTACTTTCTCATCAGATCCGGGATAACCCATATTCCACTTCAACTGCCTAACTATGGCCTTGTGTCCTTTAGATAGCACAGCGTTTCTCCTTTATTTATTCATATCCTCAGTGATCTTTCACTTGGCCCCTTCTCTGCAAAGCACTTTCTTCACCTATATGCTTCTCTCCTTCTCACCCAGATAGTCTCTACCCCAGACAGTTCACTAACACTCTTACACAGACTATTTTCATTCTCCAGTCACAGATCCAATACTCTTTTCCCCCACGACAATGCTTAACATAGAGGTAGGTATATAGGAGATTCCATAGAAAGTAGACTGTAGGATTAGGTACCATTTACAGAACACTGTTTATATTCTAGACATTGTTGAATACTTTAGCTGAATCAGTTCATATAAGCTTTACAGAACCGTAGAGAAGAAGGCACTATCATTATACCTATTTCCAGATAAGAGCATGAGGCTCACAAAGACAGAAAAAGTCATTGGTTCAGGGTCACAAAATTAGTTTATGGAACAGAGACACACATCAAACAATGAGAGGTGTTAAGTGCGGGAAATACAGCTCAGCATGCATGAAGCCCTATATTCGATCAAAGCTTCATGGAAACTGGGCATGGTTGTGCACACCTATAATTCCAGCACTTAGAAAGTAGAGGCAAGAAAATCAAATTTCAAGGTCATCCTCAGCTACATACTGACATTGAGGGCAGCCTGGGCTATTACATGAAACCTTCATTCAGAAAAAGAGTAGCATCTGTTGAAAAACAGAAGCTTAATAACAACGTATTACACTATCAGAAGAGGAGACAGCTACAGATTTCAGAAGACTCAGGAAAAGTCCTTGTTACCTGTTGCAACTTAGTTCCAAACATGGAGCCGCTCACATCTATAACAAATACCACATTCTTCTCCACTGGCGGGAGGCCTCTGGGGGCAAAGTAATGAATAAAATAGCCACCATAGACCTGGCCGAAGAGAAGGGAGGCAAGAAGGAGGGTGAGAGCCAATGGGAATCAGGCCCCTCTCACTCTCCGGCATAACAGCCTGCTCTTTCCCTGCCAGGCCAGCTCACCCTCCCTAGCTGTGTCAGCTGGCTCAGCCTTTGTCTGCACAGCAGAAGTGAGCCTCTGCTCTTGAGACCTTCATCCCAGGCCTTGCCCAGAGCAGCAGAGGGGAGAAGGCAAGCTTGGGGCCCAGGCCTACAAGGGTCAGCATCTCGGTACTCTGTGAGTTCCTGTCCATGAGACAGCCGGACTTGCACAGGCTTGAGGGTCCCCGGGGACGTTTGTCTGGGCTCCAGGAACGGAAAGTATTGTTTTAACCTCCCTTAGCAGAGGGAGCCGGGGGCCCAGCTCATTGCTGCCAAGGGCTGGGAGCTTGCAGGGCCTCCTTCTCCTCCTAAACACTCCTTTCTGCTGTTGCTGGGCAGAGCAGGGAGGGGAGGAGGAAGCAGAGGCCAACAGAGCTGTCTGTGCAGAGGGGATTGGTTAGCACCAGGTACAGATGCCTTAGGCTGTCCTGCTGTGATTGGCTGCCGGCCCCCTGCCCCCACACTCCATCTTTCCCTCTGCAGAGCCTGAGGGCTGGGTCAGTGGAGGGAAGGGAAGGACATGGGCCTGGAGGCCCCTCAGGACCAGTGTCCTCTCCAGCCAGGAAGGCCTGAGATGCCGAGGGGTCTGGGCTGTCCTGGAGCCTACAGCTTGAGGCCTAAGGCCTAAGGGCCGAGGGCTGGCCAAGGACAGCGGTATTTGCTCCTGTGTGCCCTCAGTCACCCTGTGGGCTCCCTTCTTTTCCAGAGGAGAGGGCAGTGGGAAGAGGAAATGCTGTCCCCCTCCATCCCTGCCTCTGATTGAATTCACATGGAATGGGAGCACCGTTCCACACAATCCTGGCTGTCTGTCCCATTTTCCCTAGCTGTCTATCACTCGTCCATTCAGTCACTGTCAGGCCATGGGCAGAATCTTTGGGGCTCCTATGCACCTGGCATATACGGAGGAGGAAAGCGTGCCCACCAGTCCTGGGCTGCAGTTTCACGATCTCCAGTGGCTAGCTTACAGCCTGGGTGCAAGAAACTGCCCCGCAACCTCCCACAGCCCTTTCAGTCAAACATGCCATGCTCTCAGCCCCTGAGCACCCTGAAGTGCACCAAGTCATATGCACTTGCACAAGCCACCTTGAATGGGGGAGGGTTCACATGCCTCCTGCTGGGGGGCATTCCTTCTTGCCATGGACCCTGTCTGAGGCCCACCACCTTGTTTCTGTGTCAACTGCTCTCCCAGCATGCACCATGCTAGGTCTTCCTTAGAGGCTGGGCAAGTGTGGGCTTTCCACCCGCTGACACGACCTCTTGCTCCCAGTTGCTCTCGGCTCCCATGCAGCTTCTATATCTCTGGGAGCATCTCAAGCTAAAGACATGAGCAGCTGTGAGAGTTCCCTCAAGTAGTTCATCCCTGCTGAACCCACAGCACATGCTACACCCACCCCAGACTCATGCTTCTAACACTAAAGGCACCTAGGACAAGCGTTTCCAAATCCAGTAGATGCCTTTGGACTCTCAGCAGACGCCATCTCACAGACGCCCTTCCCACTTGTAACATCTGGGATTCTGAGACCCTGAGCCTCTGCCATCACAGGTCACCTCTTTAGAGCTCTTTCTCTGGGTCCCTTAGTCCCCCCACCCCCAGAAAGACAGCATGTGCAAGGTTTTCCAGGTCATTGCCTGCACAGGGAAAGCTCAAGGAAATATGATTCAGTGAAGGAAGCTGGTAGGGATGTGTGGCTCTGAGCAGACGCTTAGAACTTGGGTCCCGCTACCCCAGGCCTCATTTACAGTGTGATTCCCTATCTTACTGCAGTCCTTCCATCCCTGCCCCTTTGCCGCAGCCATAACTGCCATTCATATCTGTATGTGTCCCTGCCATCACTCGGCATGTGCGGTCATGCCCCCACCCCTGCCACCTGCCTTTTCCTTCACTCCAGGCAAGATGTACTAACTGTTGTCATAGGACCTTAATTGTTAGCTCTTTCAGACACACTGTCCTGACACTCCTTCCCTGGTAAGACACACACACACACACACACACACACACACACACACACACTGCTTAGCATAGCACCTGTGATAAATTTGATCTCTGGTGCCAACAGAGGTTTGTCTACATCACAACCAGCATCTACACAAGGGAGAGACTGAGAGCACGCTCCAATCCCTTCTGAGATTCCAGGGCCAGTGATTTGGGCCCTAGGCTGGAGTAGATCTGCTGGGAGGTGTGTCAAGATAGGCATAGAGGAGCAGGCTTGTCCCCAGCAGTGTATGGGGTAGATTAGAGAAAGCAACTGAGGGTGAGGTGTGGGGGGATGTAGAGGTGAGGTGTGGGGGGATGTAGAGGTGAGGTGTGGGGGGATGTAGAGGGTGAGGTGTGGGGGGATGTAGAGGTGAGGTGTGGGGGAATGTAGAGGGTGAGGTGTGGGGGGAGGTAGAGGGTGAGGTGTGGAGGGTATACAAATAGGAAGGACTTTCGAAGGCTTTCATGGTGGAGAGGTAGATGCTGAGCAGTGGAGGAAGTGGAGGGAGACACACCCAGGGCAACAGTGAGCCTGAGTTAATCATTGCTCCTGTTCTCTGTGGGAATGGCCCAGTGAGTGGTGGAGAAAGTTTCTTGGTGGCCTGGTGGCTTTCAGCAGGATGGCTTGTGTCCCAGGCCGGAGGGAGGAGGCTGGGGAAGCCTTCTGGAAAGGGACTTCCCAGTCTTTGGCCAAGCTCACCAGCAAGCCCTGACTGGGGGTGTTGGGGTCAGGTCTCCCTGCTCAGCTGGAGCACACGAGGTCCCCTCTCTCTCCATGGGTGTTGAGGATCACAGTGGACACACTTCCCGTGCAGGCAAGGGCCTCACGATGGGGACCAAGTGTTCAGAAGCCAACCACAGCAAGAAAGCCAAAGACAACAGGACAGTCAGAGAGCTGCAGAAACACTCGGCAATGCCTTGTCTACAAAATGGGCTGCTTCAGAGCTGGCTAGGGCCTGACAGGCCTGGGTGGGTTCATCCAGGCCGTTTTCAAGTCCTCCAGTGTCTCTGTGAGGTGCGTACATGCTTCCAAAGAAGTAAAGCCACTTACCTCGTCCCTGATGGCTAGCTCTCACATATCCCTGGAACACTCAGAGGGACAGCTCCTATAGCCTAGAGCATGGCCCTGGCCAGAGTGACCCTGTACCAAGAACTCTGCATCTTCGTCTCCAGGTACCTGCACGTCTCCAATGATGTCCTCCATGACCACGTCATAATGGACTGTGAAGTCGGCCATGATGCCTGAGCTGGAGAAGGCAGACTGGTCTTGCAGTGTTGGGGAGAAGGTGATGCGGACACAGGTCTCTCCCCTCTGTATCCTGCTGGATGGGGGCAAGTCACCGTCACCTGCATGGGCGTTGAGGTGGCATGGAGGGCTCAGCAGAGAGAAAAGCCATGGAGGGAGACAGTGAGAGGGGCGATGTTGGATGTTGGGGAGGGTGAGAAGTGCAATCCCTCATCTCCCAGCTGCTCCTCTAGCCTAGCATGCCCTTCCAGCTGCTCCATTGCCACTCTGTCACAAGCCCTGTGGCCATCTCTTGCCCTGCCCCACCCATCACACCCTGCCTGCCAGACCCAGCCCTCCCTCACCTCCCAGCCCTGGAGGTAGAGGGTCTGTCCTTCACTCATTACCTCCCCCTGCCTCACTTCCCACCCAACCCAGGGCCTGTCTCTGGAGGACTCTCATGTCCCCAGCTCCACCGGGAGCTCAGTGTCCTCCTCCCGAGGGTCAGCGTAGTGGGCGGTGAGGACCGAGATGGACACAGTGTCGGGGCTGGGCTCCTCTCCTGTCCTTCCTGCTGTGAGACAGGGCAGGCTAGCAGTGCTCCCCTCTGGGACACAACTGTGTGGCTCCTCTTCTCCCTCTTCCCCCTGTCACTCAGAGTCATGCCTGTGAAGGAGCCTTTTAGTGCCCCGTGAAGTCACTCATGACTTTTGCTCCTGGACATTTGCTGAACCGGCTGCAAGATCAACTCCTCTGGAATTTCAGTCCAAGACCGGTGTCCCTTTAGACACGTCTCAGTGCCTCCTTTTCTCTAGAAAATGGAGACTTGGGAATTCTGCTCCCCCCTTCTTCCTGCTACAGCTGTCAGGAAGCTTAGGGGCAAACCGAGCCCCCATGCTCTGAGGCGACTGCTCACATACATTCCCTGGGCTTCCTTCCTTCCAGGGCTCTTTGTTTTGTTTTATCCCCACAGGACTACTTCTATCCTCTGTTTTAACCTTTAAGGAGAAGGGGGAGGGAGCTGCCATTTATAGCTTGGGGCTTAAGCATGCAGGCTGCTAGATTCTGCTGGCCTGTGGGCCTAGGTCCCTGATGGTGCCCTGTGTCCCTGGGACACTTGTGCCTTTCTGTGATCTCCGTCTCCATAGGAACAGCACCGGGGTGACAGTAGCTCCTAGATCGTAGGAGGTTGTTTTAGGGATCAAATGTGAGCTTATGGGAAAAGGCCTTTGGAAGCACACCTGGACCTCATGAAATGAAGGGAACTGATAGCGTCACCATCAGTATTTGTTAGGATGCTTTGTGTCCCATGGAAGGAGGGATGGTCTCCTTCTTGCAGTGGGTCCTAGGGTGTAGCTCTGTGAGAGATTGATCACCTGCCATGAACAAGGCCCTAGGATCCTTCCTTACCTTTGTGAAAAAAGCGCTCTGTTTGTGATCTTTGGTCGTATTTGTTCTCTCTTTCATTTGCCGTGTAATCAAAGGGACCCCTAACCCTGGTGTTCCCTTTGCATATGGCCCGATATTATGGCAAAGTCAATTTTGCCTTGGAAGCCAGCTTGTACCACACACATCATGCAGTCTTTCTGGCTGGGCAGGTTCCCATCAGCCAGACCCTCTAGTGCTGAAATCCTCTCCAAGGATACCCACTTATGCTATGTAATTTACCTGTTTCTGTCTACTCAACTCTCAGGGAAGTGTTTAAATTCATTTGGTGCCCCCCCTGCTTGACTGGATATCAAGTTCACTTGAGACTGGTTAAACATGGAGATTTGTGGTCCTAACTAAAGCCTACTGAAGCAGGTTCTAGTAGAACGATGTCTTGGATTCTGTGTTTCCTTAATATCATGATTGCACTGTAGCCAGTTCTCCTACCATAATCCTACAGATGGACTTGGCTGTAAGCTTGTTATTCAAGATCCTTCTTTGTCTAACATGGCATCCTACAATCACATGTCCTGCCTTCCTTCTCTTTGAGGTCATTTAGAGGAAAGCAGGACTCATCCCCATGATCTGTGCAGCATCAACATTGTTAATACAGTACTTCATGATCCATTATATATCTGCTTGTCAAACATTAGTTCTTTTTTTGAGATAGGGTCTCACTGTTTAGACCTGGAAGTCACTGTTGTAGACTAAGCTGGACTTGGACTCCCAGAGGTACCTGCTTCTGCCTTCTGATAGCTAGGATTAAAGACATGTGCTACCATGCCTGGTCATCAATTATTTTTAGTAATTGAATCTACACTTCCAGAAGCTTCTATTTCATGCCAAGTTCATACTGCAAGAATTAGGCGGATATTGAACTCCAAATATCTTGAATTCTAAGCAAGCCCCCTTCTCTGTTTGGGGAAGGAAATTGGTATAGGGACATTATTGGAAGATTGTTCCATGGAATGTTCAAGGTTTCCATTCAAAGAATGACAATATATTTAGTATCTCATAGTACTGCCCACATACTTGTTTGGTTGTTGGTGTACACGGGGCTGATCCTCAGTGGAGGTATGTGCACATAGGCAATGCCTGTCCTTTCAGACACAGTGATTTCTACATTCAGCTTCCTCACCAACTGTCCAGGCCTCAGGCTTACCACCAACTGGTACTGGCCCTGATATCGTTGTAGAAGTTCCTCATAGGCCAGGGCAAATGTTACCTCTGTGCCTGCTGCCAGCCTAGTGGAGATTCGGAATTTTTCTGATTCCCGGTCCCTGGGTAAGAGGTAGAAATGGATGGGAAGGGTGTTAGATTTTGGAATTCCTGTGGCATAGGGGAATCATCAGATGCCATGCTTCTGCTAAGCCTCATTCTTAGGCAACTGGAGCTGATCAGGCTTCTGATTCAATTAAGTCCCAGGGCCACAGTCAATCATCCAGGCATCTACTCACCAATTTCCCTTTCCTCCTTCTTCCCCCACCTGAACCACTGTAGCTGAAAAATTATCTCAAAGGTAGCTCTCTTTCCTACAGAGCTATGGTTGATAAAAATCTGAATTGAAACAGAACAATTAAAGAGTTTTCGATTTACACAAACAATTCCTGCCTGTAAATAGTCTCTAGAATCTGCCTTGATCCTTGTGTTCAATGGAGCTTTTTAAAATAGCAACAACTTAGTTTTTAGTAGCAAAATCTAAAGCGTTCCTGTAAGATGAAACCCTCTTAGAAGCCAAGAGGAATCCATAAAAATATAATACTATACCAGATGAGTGGGACTCATTTAAGAAATAAGGGTCAATCTAGGCAAGTCTCATTTGTTAACCCAGACTGGAAAGACAAACACGGCATTTTACTTCTCACATGTGGATTCTTATTTCAAACTTTAGATATCTATGTTTAACTTGGAGTGTCTGTATAAGTCAGGAAGTCAAAAAGGGCCCATGAATGTGGGAGAGGGGTCAGAGGCCTCATAGGATGAGTAGAACATATATAGTATGAAGGAAGGGGGAATATCTGAGTCTAAAGCTTTCTCTTTTTTTTGTAGATGGGATAAAAGAATGTTCCACAGGAGGGATGATTGTTGGTCTTATTTTTGAAGAAAGGACATCATTTGAATATGAGAAGATGCTAAGGTGACCCTCAGAAGAGGGGTTTATGGTGGGAAAGCCCCAGGGGGCGCGGAGGAACCCTTCTGTGGCTGCATTTAGCCACACTGAATATGATAACTTTGGAAGGAAGCAAAGTTGATGGGAAGTGGAACCTAGAGAGCATGGGGCCCAATTAAGAGAATGGCTGAAGTAAGATTTGCTCATGGCCAGGACCCATACAAGGAAGGAGAGATCAACAGGGATCATAGTATGTGTGCTGGGAGTCTAAAGTTTTAAACACTGATGAGAGTTGAGGTATGGGGGAAATGAGGATATGGGATACATGTTAACCAAAATTAAAAGTGTATGAAAAAACTTATGGAAACCTACTACTTTACCAGCAAATTTAAAATAACATTTTAAAAAGTGGTTTTAATAGAAGTACATAGGGGCATATGTGCTTCCATAAGAGCATAGGTAGAAATGCTACTCCTAATGTGAGGTGTGGGATACCTCCTTATGAGTTATTGTTCAAAGAGGCTCCCAAAGGACCCCAACAATACAATCCATTACCACTTTCTGGGTTTCTCACCATAAAAAGATAATAAAGCCTAATTGCTAAAGATACCATAAACTTTAGTTGCAGGAAATAGATAAACCAATCTTGAATTGACCAGGAAACTTCCTTCCTGCTAGCTAGATTCCCTAGTGGCTTGCCTGGGGAGAAAATACATTAGTGTTCTTTCCCAGTGGTGTATCTAGCATACTACAGTATCAGATTACCAGGCAAGGTATGTAATAGTAGTATGACTGTTACGGGGTAACCAACTACTCTCTAATTGGATTTGAGGCATGCTTCACAAGAAGAATTTCATGCCTGGTACTGAAAACCTAGTCAAAAGTCCATGTCTGAAGAGGTCATAAAACCAAAGAAAGAACCCACTATTGCTATTTTACTAAATGGTCATATAAAGTGCTGTCCATCTTGATCAGAAAAACCTCTTTTTGCACTAAATAGTGATTATTTAAGAGACTTGTAACTGGTCAAATTGCTGAGAATAAGTGACTCAGACATCTATATCATCCCCTCTGATATTCAGGTAACATCATGGAATAGGGGGCAGAAAGAATTCAAAGGCTGAAGAATTTGAAGAAATACTATGTAACAATGTCTTCTGTATATGATATGGCTTTTGTGTTCACAAACTCATAGCAGCTGTAATCACCTGCACAAGATCAAGCCAACAAAAATCCCAGCATGAATGTGGGAAGAGCCCATAAGATCCCACTCTTTACTAAAGAGTTACTGGTGGCTTCTGTGGAGGAGCAAAAGTCATCTTTATTTGAAAGGTGTAGTTGCCCATGCTCCAGTGAATGGCCCACACCCGTTTGCATATGGGCAGCACTAATTGGACTCAGGGCATTATAAAGAACAAAAGAAGAGGATATGAAGTTGGAAGAGGGGGTATATGAGGACTTTGATAGAGTATGAGAGTTGGATATAATCAAAATGCATTGTCTACATGTATAAAACCTTCAAAGAATAAATAAAATATCACCTTAAAAATAAAAATAATAAAAGAAGAGAAAAACTCACTTGTACATAATCTTCTCCCAAAGTACCAATTATTAAACAAGATACATCTTGCTAGGAGAAGAAAGCAGAAATTAGGGAAGTAAACCCCCACTTATTAAGCATCTACTGCTATAGGCATTGATATTTACTGGCTCACATAATCTTAATGTAATCCTATGAAGTAGAAATCATTATCTTCATTTTTACAGAAGCAGAGAATGAGGTCCAGAGAGAATATCTTTCATGGTCCCACAGTTAAGATGGCTTAATCATATTTCAGACCAGATGGAGCCTTACCTGATGCCTACATGAGCAGCTGTATTTCCTTGCTGATAGGCTTTCTCATAGATTTTCTTTGCCTGGTGTTTTTCCTTGATTTCTGCAACATAGACTTTATTGCCGATGGTCCTGATGGGGCAGAAAAATAGAAGGGATAGCAAAGACAGAGAAACAAAAAACGATGACCAAAACCATAGTTCTAAATAAAAGGGAGAAGGGATGGGAGAAAAGAGAGAACAAAACTGTCATTAAGCTCCAGATTGAGTGGGAAGAAATGATGAGTGAGCAAGAGAGGGAGAGGAACATATTCTCTTGAAATCTATTTGTCAACTGGGGAAAGAGAGAGCACACAACGTATGGTAGAGCTATTGGATTTTGTGTTTCTCCAAGTGTTGAATAATGGTTGCCTTTAAACACACAAAAATATTTTTAGGTGTAACAGACCTGAACATTTTCGTTATAATTGTTGTATATTTGCTAAAACATTTATTTTTAAATAAACACATCAAGGTAAGCATGGTGGTGCAGACCTATAATCCCAGCATTCAGGAATCTGAGTCAGGAGAATCACAAATTTAAGGCCACTCTGGGCTATATAGTGAGTTCCAGGACAAGCTAGACAATTTAGTGTGATTACATCTCAAGTTACACACACACACACACACACACACACACACACACACACACACACACACACTTTAATTTAATGACTCACAGGCACTGCTGCTTGGGATAGGAATGACAAACTAAAAAAAAGGTGTGTCTTTTAAAAGAAAACACATTAGGTAAACAATATTGTGAATGGTGTGAGTGCTAATAATTGTCAGTTACACAGGCCCTAAAGGCCCTGAGGGTTAGTGTTCATAGTACCATAATGTACCTTACAAACTTCCAAAGTAGGGAAGCAACCAACACTCCTACCCACCTATGACTCCTATGAACTATAACAGTGACCAGCATGGAACAATAACCCCAATGGTGCAGTAGTACCATGAATACCTTGTTAACCAACATCTCTCTAGTTGGACTTATGATCCTCTCAACCAGAGAGAAATCATACTGGAAACCTAGCCAACTACCAGGGCTAATGAAGGAGAAGGACCTTTAGCTGTCACTTTACTGAACCAGCATAACCCTTAGCTACATTCTAAATATTTATTTTTATACTCTCATATAAGTGTAGTTCTAACCCCTAATCAAGGAAACTTGTCTGTGTAACAGAGATTACAGAAAACCACAACCAAGCAAAATGCAGAGTTGTGCAGCCCATTCCCAACTGGTACATCTACAACACAACTCCTGTGCCTAAAGCTCAGGGAGCATTACAGAAAAAGAGATGGAAAGACTGTAAGAGCCAAAGGAACATAAAGTTTGCTGTAACACTGTGTCTCCCAAAATGTCAGAGCAGGTACGCCCATGAAGTCTCAACAATATGGCTACCTAAACATGACCCCAACAAGGAAGATACCAGTAGATATTTTAACATGGGAGGAAAGATCATGAAGCCTCAACCCTATACAAAGAACTACAGGCAACTAAGGAATGCTAAGAGTGGAAGAAATGTAAAAGGTTTATTTCAGCTTACAACTCTCAGGTCATACCATCGATGAGTGAACTCAGGCCAGGAATTCAAGAAGGGTTGGATCCTGGAGGCAGTAACTGATGCAGAAGTCATGGAGGGTGCTACTTATTGGTTTGGTCCTCGTAGCTTGCTCAATCAATAGAACCCAGGATCACCAGCCGGGATGACACTACCCACAATGGGTTGGGCCTTCCCTTGCCTATCACTAATTAAGAAAATGGCCTTAGGCCTTATAGGCTTGCCTACAGGCCAATCTGATGGGGGATATTTTCTCAATAGAGATTCCCTCATCCCAGATGACTGTAACTTGTATCAAGTTGACAAAAAAATTAACCAGCACAAGTGACTCCTTGTCAGTATGATTCACAAATACATCACTATTAAACTGTAACATTTCTTTCTTGTTTATCTCCAAGCTCTCATGTTAATATTACAATATAAAACAGAACAACTTTAAAAAAATTCGAAGACTTTTTTAAAAAGCTTAACCTCTTTAAGATACCGAAAATCTCTCTGGAAATCCGAAGTCCCTAACTACGAGCTCTTGTAAAATAAAAAAGTTACATACTTCTTATCCCAAGAGGGAAGAACCAGGGCACAGCTACAATCAAAGCAAAACCAAACTCCAACAGTGTAAAAAGCCCAATGTCGGGGATTTACTCACAATCTCCTAGGCTCCAAAGTGCTTGGGCAGCTCCACTTCTCCAGCTCTGCCATCTACAGCACACATAGCTGGTCTGTGAGGCTCAGGCCATCTCCACACCACACTTTGTCACTGTCTTTGTTTTGTCATCCTGTAGTCCTGGCACCCAAATTCTGGGTGTGCACTGCAACTGAGGCTGCATCTTCACCAATGGCCTCTCCTGGCCTTTCACAGTGCCAAAGCTTAGCTGTTCTCCATGACCCTTTCACAATTTCAAAACTAGCACTATATCGGGGACTTCTACACCTTACCAAGTTCAGCTACCAGCTTGAGATGCAGTTTTGGCGTTCCTGGACCACAGCTTCTGCGCTAACCCCAAGGAAATACTTCCCACAAGATTTCACCTCAATGATGCTGGTCTCCTATTAATCACAGCTGATTTCTTGATCCTGGCTAACCAGCATTGATTGTTCCAGGAAAGCAAAGTTTTCATTTTAGTGATGCTGGTCTCTTAATAATCACAACTGATTTTTCAGCCCTAGCTGACCAGAAACCAAAGATTTCCAATTCAAAATTTTGTAAGAACAGCCAGATAAAGTCTTTGCTTCCCTAGGAAAATTGACAATCCAGGTCTCTATCATCTACATTACTCTAAGCATTCATATCTTTCATGCTAGCACAGAACAGCCTATCTAATCACTCAACAACTTTTCCAGTCCAAAGTTTCAAAATCTTTCACAGTCCTTCCCAAAACAACATGGTCAGTTCTGTCACAGCAACACTCCATGAACCTAGTACCGATTTCTGCCCTAGTTTGCTTTCTGATTTTGTGATAAACAGCATGACCAAAACAACTTGGGAACAATAAGGGTTTACTTCAGCCTAAAGCTTACAATTCACTATGAAGGGACATTAGGACAGGAACTAGAGGCAGAAACCTGGAGGCAGGATCTGATGCAGACAAAATGAAAGGCTGCTACTTATTGTCTTACTCAGTCTGCTTCCTTAATGCAACCCAGGACCACCAGCACAGGAGTGGGACCATCCATAGAGGGCTAGGTCCTTCCATATCATTCATGAATCAAGAAAATGACCCACAGACCTCCTTATAGGACAATCTGATGGAGGCATTTTCTCAGTTGAGGTTCCCTCTTCCCAGATGAGTCTAGCTTATGTCAAGTTGACAAATAACTATTCATCAAACCTACTAACTGGTCTCCCTTTTAAACTCTTGCTCTTTATAGATTGATCTCATGGCAGTAGAAACATCTATTAATCTTTTGTGTATCGACAAAGGGCCTTACTACATACTACTGGCTGCCCTGAACTAGAGCAACAGAAATCCACCCGTGTCTGCATTCAGAGTGCTGAGATTAAAGGCATTTACCATGGTGCCTGAAATATCATGTTAATCTTAAATCAAGTCACTTCATTTCTACTGCTCAAAGTCTCTGTAGCTTCCATCTCAACCGAGAATGAAAGCAAAACTCTTCACTAGGCACTTTGTACTCCAGACATTATGGCTGGCTATTATCTTTTCAACCCCATGACTTCCCATTCTTTCTGCCATTCATCCTGCTCTAGTCATGCTGTTTCTTTTCCTGCCTTCCTTCCTTCCTTCTCTCTCTCTCTTTCTTTCTCTCTTTTTCTTTCTTTCTTCTCCTTCCTTCTTCCTCTCTCCATCTTTCTTTTTCTCCTCCTCCCTCACCCTCTCTATTTTGGTAAAGCTGGGTGTGGAACTTAAGGCCTTGTACATGCTAGGTAAGCTCTATGAGACCAAACTATATACCATCAGCTATTTGAGACAGTGCTTCACCATGTAGCTTAGACTAGCCTTGAACTCACTATGTAGCATGATCCTCCTGCCTTTTTTCTCCTTCAGTTTCTTTGCTTTTTTGTTTTGTTTGAACAGGGCTCATTCTGCAGCTCAAAAAAACTTTGAACTCAATATTCTTACCTCTGTCTCTCGATAATTTTAAAAATTAAAGTTAAAATTATTTTTAACTTATACTTTAAAGAACATAAGGTGGTGCCCAGGAGATAGTTTAGCCAATAAAATGCTTACCTAGTAAGTACAAAGACCCGAGTTTAATCCCCAAAACTGAGTTTAATCCCCAAAACCCAGGCAAAAAAGACAGGGCATGCGTAGTGGGGCATTATTGGATTGCCAGCCTTGCTTACTGGTGGGTTCCAGGCCTGTGAGAGAGCTTGCCTCGTAAAAAAGGTAGATGGTGCCTGAGAGACACCTGAAGCTAACCTCTGGACTCCATAAGATATGCAAATATGCATATATACACATATACATACATACATACATACAGAAACCCCATAAAAGTTGTATGTACTAGTGAGCATTTAATGTTTGATAGCCGTATGATACATATATCCCTTGTGTAATGTCTAAAGCAAATAACCATGTATATCCTCAAGCATTTATCACTTGTGGCAAAACTTTCAAAATCCTTCTTTTAACCTTTGAAGTACAGTGCACAATTGTCATCTACACTGTACCTGTGCCTTAGAGTTTGTTGTCCCTGTCTAACAGTGATAAGATTTCCCCATCTCCCTTGACCATTTCCAGTCTTGAGAAATCATTATTCCACTCTCAAATTCTATGAAATTAACCATCTAGGTTCCATACGTGAGTGATATCATAGGGCATTTGCCTTTCCATGCCTGACATAATTCACTTAGCATAAGGACCTTCCCTTCCATCTAATTGGCAGGGTTTGAGAGTTTGGAAAAATAAGTTTATTATTTTATTTTATGTGCATGAATGTTTTGCCTACATATATGACTGCACACTATGTACACGCTTGGTACCTGAAGAAGCCAGGGAGGGTGTTGAATCCTCTGGAACTAGAGTTATAGATTCTTGTGATCTGCCATGTGGGTGCTGGCATCTCTCTAACCAAAATTTGAGGGGAGTGTTTTGTTGTTGTTTTTGTTCTACCTTAGGCTGGCCTTGAGCAACTGCACTCAGATCAAACCCAGACTAAAATCAAAGAAACAAACAAAAGAAAAAGAATAACAAAACAAAAAACCAAACAATTGTTTTGAAACCGGGTTTTGATATGTGGTCTAAGCTGGTTTGAACACCCAATATTCTAGCTACAGCCTTTTCTATGCTGCGATTAGAGATACAGAATACCACGAGCAGCCCAATTATGTTGTCACAAGTAGCAGGTCGTCATTTCTTTTTATGGTGCATTTAGGTATCCACTCATCAATTAGACCCTGAGATTGTCTGTAGTTTTAGCTGTTGTCTATAGCATTCCTTGCCCTGTTTTGAATTTGCTTAGCACATCCTTGTCTCAGAACCTTTGTAATTATTCTTCCTTTTGCCCAGAGTGTTCCTCTTCCAGGTCCTTGTAAGTCTTCACAGCACTCTCTTCAGGTCTCTGCTTAATGTCACTTGGTCTTTGATCACTCTAGACTGGTACCTCTATTCAGTCTCTGTCTCCTTTGCTCTACTTGCTACTCTTCTTTGGTAGCCCTTCTCATAGACAAACTGATGCATATTAGTTTATGTTTTTCATGTCTTAACTTCTCTAGGAGACTGTGAGCTCCTTGAGGGCAAAGAAATGGCTGCCTGCTTTGCTGCTAATGCCTTGCCCACAGTAATCATGCCATCGTTTCATAACAAGCATCCCAGGACGACAGGAAGAAAAGTCAGGCTGTGTTTCATGGAACAGGGGATCAAAGAGAAGGGAGCTATAGAAAGAAGGCTAGAGAATCCAAGGGCTTTGAATTCAAGACTCAATGAGCTCATGTTGCAGCAAGGAATGTGAAGTGTTGGATAAGTCTCAAACTGGGAAGAAATGGATGGGGTCAGAGCTACCTTTGAGCTGTGAGAAATTGGTGTCCTAGAGAACATTAATACACCTCTGTGGGAGGCAAGAACAGCTGTCTCCATTTCACAAATGGAGTAACTAGGGCACAGATAGTAGCAGCTTCCAGGAATGCTAAGGGAAGATATGCAGCTGGCAGAAGAGACTACTTAGGCAAGGAGTGTTTCAAGGCAGCTGAAACAGTATTGCTGAGGCTGGGCTGGTGTGGGGGTGGACAGAGCTGGCTGGGCCTCAAGGTCTCCTGGGGGCTGGGGTGGTAGGGTGGAGCGACTCTGGCAGTCGCACACTGGGGCCTCTGTGTGTGCTGCCTCCAGCCAGCATACTTTCCACAGAGTCTGCCCAGGAACATTTCCCCAGCTTGCTTTGCTAAATTTTTAAAAAAAATCCTTTCGGTGGTTTTTTTTCCTATTGAAACGAACCCCCATTCTGCCTATTGCTCCGTCTTTACATCAACTGTCAAACTCTCAGGTTGGCCCCCACACTTCATAACATGCCTGGGGTTTGTTTGTTTGTTTGGGGGGACTGCTTTTATTCTTGTATTTGCTTCATTTGGTCCTCTACTTGGAATGATCTTGGTTGCTTCAAGTCTTACCCACTTGGAAATCCTGCTGCAGGGAAGTCTCCTCTCATTGTTTCAGTTTTCCCCCCTTATACTGACTTCACACCAATCACCTCTTCCAACCTAGCCACTCTCCAACGTGCAGCTGAGGGTCTTGATAGCACAGCATGGGCTTAGGGTCATAAAGGTTGTTTATAGCACAAGAGCCTTCTCCCCATGAGTGGGGAGACAGTGCCCAAGCATGGGCAGAAATTCTGTTCGACTTGGACTCCCTAATCTACTAACTCTGAGAGTGTCTACACTCAAAGACAGAAGTCCCCTTTCTTTTTGTCCTTTTGAAACAGGATCTCATGTAGCTAAGGCTGGCACTGAACTTGAACACACTGTACACAGCTGAGGATGACACCCTTTAACATCAGATCTTCCTGCTTCCACCTCCCAAGTGCTTGTACGACTCTGTGTGCCACCACGGCAGTTTTATCTGGTGATGGGAACTGGATCCAAGGTTTTGGGTATACTAGGAAAATATCTGACCTAGCTACATCCCCAACTCCAGAAGCCTTTGCACAACTCACGCTATGGTGTCTGTGGACTGATGCCACCCCACTAAGCTTTCTTTTCATCTACTCCTCTTCCCTCAGTCTTCATCTCATCCATTGCCTGCCATCTAACAAAACAAAACAGAAAAAAGGCAGTCACCATTCATACTCCCACCGCAAACAGATTGTTTCTCCCTCCAGTGGGCTCTCAAATCCCACCATCATGTTCTCCCTCCATGCTGCACTACAGGGCTCTTCTCAGCTTCCAAATTTGGCTGGCTCTTCCAGCGTAGCCTTGCTTTGCTGTTGTCACCCCTTGCTCACCGCGTTGCCATATCTCTTCTCCAAGGGCCCAGCTATCTCGAAAATGGGATTTACAGCTCCCTGGGTATTCAGGGAACAAACAAAAGGGACTGGAAGAATATTAATACTCTATTTATAGAGCTTTCCATTCTCTTTGATGACTTATATGTACAACCCTTGTGATATATATTTGTTCTATGGTGTATTTAATACGTGTGGGTTCCATGCTCTTGCTTTCCCATTGGAAGCCCCTAAAAGCCTCTCTTTTCCTACCTCTCAGTTCTCATTTCTGACCACTTTTCTACCCTCTGCCTGCTGTCTACACTTCAGTACATAGAAGGACATGCACTTTCACCTCATGAGGGAACATTTGGGTCTTCATTCTTTTGCCTTAGTTTTTTAGGCTTGCTTCCATAGTGCTGGGCTAGTGAACATCTCATAATTTAAGTGTCATTTGTCCAAAGCTTTCTTCCACTGATGGGAATTCAAAACTGATCACTGTCTCCTGCTGGGCCTTGGGGTTCCCACCACTTTGCATTCAGAATTCTCCTAGAATATCTTATTTAAGTCCTGATTATTCTCTTTTTGTGTCCTCCATTAGACAGTAGACTAAGACTTAGAGACTGTGTGCAGTCCATCTTTCCATCACATCTAGCCAGAACTATGTAAATTATGCCTTCAGTATCAGGAAAAGGATTTTTCCCCCAAAAGCTAATTTTATCAAGTATTTATCATACACCAGGCACTAATGTTAGCCTAGATTTCCACATGTTTTATTTCATTTAATCCTTGCAAGTGGTTTCTAATTTTAGCCATGTTTTAAAGATGTGTAAAATAAGATTCAAAAGTTAGGTAGCTTGTCCTGAGTCCCACAGCTGCCAGAGGCAGGATTCAAACTCAAGGAATCTGATTTTTAAACTCAGCCTGTTCACTGCTCCACACTAGTGAAGGAGCAAACAGACTGAACGAATTATGCACAAATGAATGAAACACTGAGTTTGGAAGCAGACTTACATTGTGAAATTGGAGATGAAGGCAACGCGAGGTAGATCCAAGTCAAAGATGGCTTCATGGGCTTCATCATGTGGATTGGAGAGGACAGAGGTGACCAAAGTGTGTGCATAACGAGACACCACGGTGGAACGTATGGAATAGCTCGCCATCAACAACTGTGAATGCAACAGAGGTGGGTTACAGAGAGCCCTTTATGGGCCAAGATGGATAGGTACTTGGGAACTCAAGGTTCCTGAACTGGTTTCAGGGTGGAGGAGGAGAAACTGAGGCACCTGAAGGGAAAATTACCTCTGTCATACATGGACCTGCCTGAGAGTGCAGTTAGCAAATCTCAGAACTAAAGGTTTAGAGACAATCCCAAATCAAAGTACCTCTAGACAAGCACTTCTCTGATTTTAATGAACTCATATCTTGCCAAACACGGGTACTAATTTAGCAACCCTGCAGCAGGAAGAGGCTGATGTCCTCCTTGCTTCTGAATCCCCTGAAGCTGCTGCTGCTGCTGTTGGTGGTCCACAGGTTTCACTTTAGAATGAATGTAACATTTTAGCAAAGCTTTAGAGTGTAACAGAATAGATGTATTCATCAGGCCCTATACTATTACAAGGCAATATGTTAATATTTAGGTTTTTTATGATTTCAGCTATAAAGATTGAGCCTGATAAGTACAGTAATATACTGCAATCATGTTAAGTGTTCAGCATTCATGATCCTATTTAATCCTCACAGTCTGAGGAGTTAAGTTCTAGTATCTCCCACATCTTAAAGATATGCTAGCTGAGACTCAGACACTGAGGTCACCCAGCAGAAGACAGCTATCTCTCTCCAAACCTTCCCTGAAGTTATGATCCCTCTATCTCCCACAAATCATGTACATCTTTTGTTCTTAGTATGGGGAAGTGGACCATAGAGGGAATCTGGAATCAGTTGGGCGTAGGTTCAAGTTCTGGCCCTGCTGCTTCCTATGTCTTAAGCCCTGAGCCTGTGTTTCCTCCTCTCTCTAATGGGAATAAGAAGAGAGTGTGGTTTACAGGGATGCTGTGAGGACTGACTGAAACAATAACAGAGACCACTAGCACATCACCTGACTTGCACTTAGAAATCAGTAACTCTTCTCTCTGGCCCTTGCTTCTCAGCCCAGCAGAAACAGACTGAGAAACTTCTGCTCCTCCCACCCCAACGAGCTGCTTTTCTCACCACTTGCAGAACACTGTTTTCTTATGCTAGAACTGACCTTGCTGTTTGATGAGGCAGAGCCATGGGGTCCCTGGTGTGTTAGGTCTAGGAGAATGGTCAGCAAAACACTGACACGGCTGAGGCACCTCCATTCAGACATGGTGCCACTTCTGACCTGGGTCTGCTGTTCTCATCCAGAATGTCTGGCCCTGATCTCCAAGGCCTTCCTCTTTTAAACTTCCAGGTATCCCTTCTCTTGAGAGGGAGGGACCATGCTGAAGGGTGGGGAAGTCTCTGAATGTGGCATTGAGGCCTACACAAACCAGGATTGTCCAAGAACTGAGGTTGGCATCTTGCCTGGAGAAGGGCCAGTTCTGTGCCTCCTTTTTCCCCTTCGTCCAGCTGTAAGATGAATGGAAACTAAACATGCCAGAGTGCTGGGTCTGTCTGTTTGCTATGTTGGCTCAGGGTGGGGTTTTTCTTTCCTATAAACATCCACTGGAGCTCAATAACTGGAGCCAGAGAAAGGTCACTGAGTACTGATCATCTTAAAAAGGTAGCAGCCTTTAAGAGGGTTGGAGAGGCAAATACCCAGCATCGGTCTTCTCTGTTGCTCTCTTTAGTCTTGACACAGGAGGGACTGTAGAGGTTCCACAGGCATGAGGTTTCCAATCTCAAGAATAGCCAGAGGTCAAGATGGGCTGCAGAAGAGACGAGAAAGAGTATAATTCAGTCATTTAAAACACAGGCTCAGGGCTGAGAACATCTGGGTTGGAATTGCAGTTCAGCTGCTTGCTGGCTGCATGATATTCAGCGAGGAAACTTACCACTCTGCAGCCTCAGTTCCCTCATCTGTAAAATGGGGATAACAGTAATATTTTCTAAAAGTCTCAACACCGAGTCTGTACTTTTGGAATGCTTGATATCTGGTAGATATTCAGTAAATGCATAGTGGGATGAGGTATGGCAAAAGTCAAACTATGGTGGCCTGGCATCGTGCTACACATTTATAGTTCTAGCATTTGGGAGACTGGTGCCGAAGAACTATGAATTTGATGCTAGCCTATTCTACATGGTGAGTTCTATTCCAAGTTGGCCTATGCAGTGAGATCCTGCCTCAAAACGTCAACAAAAGAGCACGGGGAGTCCCCTGTCCTACTGGAGACATGAAAGGGGCAGAAAGATGCAGAGTTGACATGCTCTGAGCCCAGTTTCTGAAGGTTCTGTGGAAGATGGATTGAGGAGTGTGCCTGCACAGGGGCCATTAGCGTGTATCAGAACCTTAATCATACTTATATGAACACAGATTACATTCACAAGACTTTCAGCATCTATCAACAAGGGCAAAACTCTCTGAGAACTATTTATAAATTGGCACGAAGATCACAAGACACCTTGATTTTTAACTATTTATAAATTGGCATGAAGATCACAAGACACCTTGATTTGCCTTATGGCATTCGGCACTGCAAAACAAAGTCTCATTCTGACCTTTGGGGGTTCCAAATCTTATTAGTTGCCACCTACCCCAAGTCCACTCAAAGTTTCCCATTGCAGGTTCTTCAGTGGAGGTGCAGGCATTAGGGATATTCATGAACTGCTGGGTTGGGTCTTCAGCACTGTGTAAATGGGATGTGGTGTAGCTTGTCTGTAATCACAGCATTCGGGAGGTATAGGCTGGAGGATCAGAAGTTCAAGGTCATCCTCAGTCACACAGAGTATAAGGACAGTCTAGAATATGTGAGACCATGGTTTTAAAAAAGAAGAGGAAGAAATTTCCTCATAGAAGACAGTCCTAGCTGCAGAGAAGCTTTGTTTATATAGCAACAGAGAAAACTTCAGCAGGTGCCCACTCTCTCTTAAAGACAGATAACCAAGGGTTCCCAGGCAAATTAAGAAAGCCTGTACTATGAAAGCAAGAAGCCAAAACAAGCAAATAGAACAAATGAACCCAGAGCAAGTTGGGAATTTGAGTAACAAAAGAGAACTTCAGGAGAAAATTATGCTTGTCAATCATTCAAGAAAGTGTGACATGCATGAAACAAGAATTAGATGCTACAAAACAACAGCAATCAGAGAAAAGAAAGACACCTTAGAAATGGAAAAGAAATTGCTGGAAATAAAAATGTCAACAGAAAGACTGGAAAATAACATACAAGAAATCTCTTGGAATGTAAGGTGAAACAACAAAACAAACAGGAAATATGAAAAGAAAAATGCCAAAGATACAGATATACAGATCAACATAGCAGACACAACATTTAGAGAAATGAGTTACAGACTAAAAGGAAAATAATGAAACATTTTGTGTGTTGTTTTGGTACATTAGTCATATTGATGCATCCATTTTTAAAATTAGTTTTTTAAAATTGTTTTTTCTGGGTTTTGGGAGGGAGGGAGCATGAAATTGGGTGGGTAGCAGAGTGGTGATGATCTGGGAGGACTCGGGGAAGAAAAGAATATGATCAAAACATATTGTATGGAAAATGCTTTTTTAATTTAAATTTAAATTAGAAACAAGGTTGCTTCACATGTCAATTCCAGGTCCCTCTCCCTTTCCCTCCCCTCCTCCCGTGCCCTCCCACCAACCTCTCCAATACCCCTCATTTCCCCAGGGAGGGTGAGGCCCTCCATGGGGGTGTCCATAGTCTGTCATTTTATCCAGGGCAGGGCCTGGACCCTCCCCCAAGAGTTCAGGGTGAGAGTTCATCTCACATTGTTAGATGGGAGTCCAAAGTCCATTTGTATACCCGGGATACATACTGATCTACTACCCAAGGCTCAATAGATTACCTAGGCCTCCTCACTGACACTCATATTCAGGGGGTCTTGATCAGTCCCATGCTGGATTCCCAGGCGTCAGTCTGGGATTCAAGAGCTAACCCTTGTCAGGTCAGCTGTTTCTGGGGGTTAAACAAGCCCAGTCTTAACCCCTTTGGTCATCAGTGCTCCCTCTCTGTTAATGGCTTTCTTGAGTTCAGCTCAGTGCTTAGCCATGGGAGTCTGCCTCTTCTTCCATTAGCCACTGAATGAAGGTTCTGTTTGCCAGACTCTCTGGCCATGGGATTGTAGGCTGGCACTTCCCCAGATCTATGTCTAAAATCCATATATGAGAGAGTACATGCCATGTTTCTCTTTTTGTGACTGGGTTACCTCTCTCAGGATGGTTTCTTCTAGTGCCATCCATTTGCCTGCAAATTTCAGGATTCCATTGTTTTTTTCTGCTGAATAGTACTCCATTGTGTAAAGGTACCACATTTTCTATATCCACTCTTTATTTGAGGGGCATCTAGGTTGCTTCCAAGTTCTGGCTATTACAAATAATGCTGCTATGAACATAGTGGAACAGACATCCTTGTTGTATGAATGTGCATCTTTTGGATATATGCCTAAGAGTGGAATTGGTGGGTCTTAAGGTAGGTTTATTCCCATTTTTTTCTGAGGAATCTCCATACTGATTTCCAAAGTGGCTGTACAAGTTGGCACTCTCACCAGCAGTGGAAGAGTGTTCCCCTTTCACCACAACCTCTCCAGCATAAATTGTCGTTGGTGTTTTTGATTTTGGCCATTCTGACAGGAATAAGATGGTATCTCAGAGTTGTTTTGATTTGCATTTCCTGGATGGCTAAGGATGTTGGAAAATGTATTTTAATTATTATTTTTATACCCTGACGACCGTTTCCCCTCCCTTCTCTCCTCCCAGTCTTCCCCACTTCCTCTCTGCCCCCAAAGGGCAGACCTCCTATGGATATTAACCAAACATGGAATATCAAGTTTCAGTATTACTAGGCACCTCCCTCATATTAAGGCTGGATGAGGCAACACAGTAGGAGAAATAGGGATGGGAAAAGGTTTCTTTTTTGAAAAAGGTTTTTTGAATGTATCAGGAGCTGGGCCTGATGGTGCATACCTGTTATCCTAGCACTGGCAAGGATAATGCAGGAGGATTGCTGCAATCCAAAAGCCAGCCTGGTCTACATAGTGAGTGTCAAGCTAGGCAGAGCTACATAGTGAGAAACTGTATCCAAAAACAAAATTAAAATATATTGCAAGTTAATTTCCTACAGCTAAAGAAATCCAGAAGCCTGGGACCTCCTCTGTCACTGCAGCAGATCCCACAGTAGTTCCCTTCCATGTTACCATTTGTTCTTCTGTCTCCCATCATTATATTTCCAGGTCCCTTTAAAACCCAGTCCACATCCTTTCATTTCTCTGTTAAAATGGTAGAATCCACCAAGGCTCACTTACTGAGCCTTATGTGAGAGGAGCTAGTGAGGCAAGCCTTCATTACCATTCTCATCACACAGCCCATTACTCCTCTCCCTTCTCCTTCTACTACTCTAGGAACCCTGGACTTCCATGTTCTTCCAAAATGCCTGGGATGGGAACAGATGCCATGGGTAGGTTCTTACACTGACCTTTCCATTTGGAAAATCTTTTCCCAGATATCCACTTAGCTCTCTCGCCTTATTTTTTTCATATTCTGACATTTTAGTGAGTTACTTCTTAACCAGCATATTTAAAACTGAAATAACATTTCTTCACTGGTATTTTCTATCTCTTTTACCCTGTTTTTTTTACTCTGCCCCTTGTTTCTAGACAGGGTTTACTATGTAACTCACTCAGACTGGTCCTATACTCCAGATCCCCCTTCCCTAGGCTTCTTAGCACTGGGATTGCCATCAAACCTGGATTTTGTTTTCTCCATAGCACTTTATTTAAGTTGTTACAGATCTTGTTTCTGTATCCAATTGTTTCCTCTCTTCCCCTTACTAGAATCACCTCCATGAGAACCAGGCATTGCTTTCTGTCTTCTTCACCGTTATGTCTTCAGCTCCCAGAACAGCATCTCGTACCTAGCAGACAATAAATATTTGTTTAATGAGTTGACATAATAAAACCATACAATTTATGGAAGAATAAAATATGTTATTATATATATATATATATATATGAAAGTAGTGGTTCAAATATAAAACAAAATAAAATACGGTTATAAGCAACTAATGGAGTATAAGACAGAACTTGATGTGAGAAAAAAGTCTCCTTTAAGAGTTCCAAGGTTAATGACATTGGACTTGTAAAGAAGGAAGTGTATTCTTGGCTCACTACTTAGCTTGATTTTGGAAAAAATATTTACATAGTCAAGACAATGTAAATACTGTTTATTGGTTTTTAGGTTTAAGAGCTATCCTGGAAAGACAAAGAGAGGAAGATCTCGTTAATACTGCAGAACAGAACATAAATGTCAATAATATGTATAACGTCAAAGGAGAGATCAAAGAGATAATGTAGGTCAGTGATGGGCAATGTGCAGCTAATACCTTTGTTTTAAAAAGCAGGCAGTTAAGAATAATACTGGCTTTGTAAAATGGCAGTTGTAGGTTCTCCTCCAACATCCATGACTTCACTAGACCCTGGTAGTTGGCTAGGTTTCCAGTACCAGGCATAATTTCCCCAAAGAGATGTTGGTTTCCTCCAGTCTCTTCATTCTACTACTGCACCTTCAGGGTTATAGTACCATGCCAGTTGTTGTGTTCATAGACAACATGGCTGTGCAGTACTACTGGTTGCTTCCCTCCCCTTTGAAGCTGGCAATGTGCCTTCTGTTACTTACACTTACAGATAAACATAGTTCTCACCCTTCCTCAGGGAAACTTCTCCTTGCAACAGAAAGAAAGACCATTACAGAAAATCACAACCAACCAAACTGCCGAGATGTGGAGCCTAATCTCAACTGACATGCCTAAACACAACTCCTCCAGCTATGGCTCAAGGATCATTGCAGAAGAGGGAGCAGAAAGAGTGTAAGAACCAGAGAAACAGGAAGTTTGCTGTGAGATTTTGTCTTCTTGAAATGTCAGAGAAGCTAGACCCATAAAGTGTCTCAACAATACGCCTGACTAAACATGATCTGAACAAGGAAGATCCCAAAACGCATGCTAACATAGAAGGTGGAAAGGCCATGAGACCTTAACCTTAGTCAAAGAACTACAGACAATTAAGGGATGCTGAGACTGGGAGGAATAGTCTTGACCAAGGAAGATCACATCAATTGCTTATTCCATACCAATGGTCATCCCTGGAAACCTATAAATACGACTAAGCAGTTTGTATTTATATATTTGGGGATACATATGTACACACACATATACATTTATAGAAAAGCTGTAGCCACAATTTAAAAAAAGGAGTCAATGCATTTGAAAGGGAAGTGAGGGAGGGGTACAAGGAAGGGATTGGAGGAAGGAAAGGGAAGGGGAGAGGGATGTAACTACAGTCTCAAAAAAAATAAAACTATACTTAAAAATAAAACAAAAAGCAGGCAGTTGAAATCATTGTAAAAACAGACAAAATAGGAAATAGATGTCTCTTTTTTTTCAGGCTACAAATTAAACAAAAACAGAAAAAGTATTGATGCTAGCCCTTGCAGGGGGGTGGAAAGAAAAGCACAGACGTTCTGGGCATGAAAAGAATCTTCACTGTTATCTCGGGGAGTTGATGGGACATTGTCTCAATTTTCTAAGCTAAGAAGTAGCATTATCAAGAGTTGTAGAGAGACCCAAGGGTGATGTAAAACCAAAAAAAGTGGCTTTGAGAACAAAGTGACATTGTTTCTTGAAAAACAGATCCAACTGGAGCTGATAATTTTATTAAGCAAATTAAGCTTGTCTCAGAAAGACAAATACTTTCTCTTGTTTGCGATTCTTAGACCATGTATAGATACATAAAATCATATATATGAAAGCAGAAGTGAAAGTGCCTAGGAGAACAAAGAGGGCTAAAGGGAAGAACGAGAAGAAAAAAGGGAGGGGGGAAATGTGGCCAACAATAGAATATATATTTGCATGACAACTTAAAAAACATTTCGGATGGTGGCTCCAGAAGTATAGGATGGAGGTATGGAGAGTTGATAATTTTTTATTAAGTGTTTTTATTAAGGAAAAGATCATTTCAATAAATATTTAATATAAACTAACATATACTTACATTTCTTTTCCCTATTTTCTTTTTGTAATTGATTTTATTTAAATTAAAAACAATCTTATTTTACATATCAATCCCAGTTCCCTCTCCCTTTCCATCCTCCCACGCCCCCCATCAACCCCCATCCCACCCCCATCCACTCCTCAGGGAGGGTAAGGCCTCCCATGAGGGATCATGAAAGTCTGACACATTTGGGGCGGGACCTAGGCCCTCTCCCAGGTATCTAGGCTGAGAGAGTATCCCTCCATAGGGAATGGGCTCCCAAAGTCCATTCATGCACTAGGGATAAATACTAGCTGCATGGGATCATTTTTATAATATTCTTTTGTTTGAGTTGTTACTATGTACACTTCCGAATTTAATAAAAATATTTAAAACATTATGTTGACCTCACAAATTTAATTAAATGTTTTCCCCCATGAATATGGGTCTCACACTGTAGCCCTTAGCTGGTCTGGAACTCACTATGTAAAACAGGCTGGCCAGGAATGTGGGAGAATCATGCTTCTGCCTCCCAGGCATGGTGATTACAGGCTTACACCACCAAACCTGGCTCGAAATGTATATGTCTTATGACACATTCTAAATGGGAATATCCAGTTAGACTTGCCTTCACAGATAGAAATCATACTGTAATGTCCATAACATATTTAGGAAGGGTGCTGGTGTTTTATTTTTATTCTATTTTCTATTGCTATAGCAAGGTGCCTGAGGCTGCATGTTCAAAGTCCAAGATTAGTTGGTCCCATTTCCCGAAGCCCTGCGTGAATTTTAACAAGACAAATAGCTCATGGTGGAAGCACATACAAGGAGAGCTCAAATGCTGAGGTATGCATATTTTAGTAACAATTCACAACTATAGAAACTCACCTGAGTCCCAAGAGAATGACATCAATCTCTCCCAATAGTGATTAGCCCAGTGACCTAGTCTCTTTTCACTAGGCCTCATCTCTGAAAGATTCCACTAATTCAAATCAGTCCACCAAGTCTCAAGCTTTCAGCACATGAACCCTTGGGAGAGAAACAACATCCAAACCAAACCACAGCACTTGGAAAGCATATGGGACTTTAAACCACCAACAATGTAGTATCATGGTTAAAACACTGGTATTTGATACCCATTGAGCTGGACTCAAAACCCCTCTGTGCTGCATACCCATTTAGATGAAAGCTTGTCTCTGCTAAGCTATCTTTCTTATCCCCTAATGTTGTCCTCTACCCAATGAGGCTGGTATTCACATTTGATGATTTTGCAAAATTCACTGGACTAAAGGAACAGCTTCCTGTAGCCAGAGAGGACTTGAAAATGACTTGCCCAATTCTAAGCCTTTTATGAGTAAAGGCCACCTTTGTGATGGTGACTAATAGATAGTTGGTCCCCGTTTTCTTTTTGATGGCCAAATCCTTTCTCACGGGTTTGTTTTTACGAGGCTTCTTTGTACAAAGAACCTGGGAGACATGGTATTAGTCCAGATATCAGAATTTCATATATATGGGGAATTTTTCTTTTATTTAACAGAAGTTCTCTCCCTCTCTGTCTCTCTCTGTCTCTGTCTGTCTCTCTCTCCCCCTCTATCTGTCTGTCTCTCTCTCTGTGTCTCTCTCCCTCTCTCTCTGTTTCTGTGTTTCCCCCTGCTGCATAGATAGCCCTCAGAGTTTGGAGTAACACAGACTGAGTTAAATTGCCTTACAACAGGACAACAGGATTCCAGCAGTAAAGAGAAAGCAGCCCTAGAACCTGATGGTGTGTGTTGAGGTGTGTGTGTGTTGTGGTGTGTGTGTGTGTGTGTGTGTGTGTGTGATCATGCATGTGTGTGTTGAGGTGTGTGTGTATGTGTGTGTACCATGGCGTTCATGTGGAGGTCAAAGGACAACTTGCTGAAGTCAATTCTCGAGTTCCACCATAAAGGGACCCTGGGATCAAACTCAGGCCATCAGGCTCTAGGGCATGTGCACGCGCCTGGTGACCATAATCTCAGGTTTCTGATGGCCTATGGTTATTGGAAACAGGCCTTGAGCATAACGATTTAGGCTCTACAGATTTTGTAGATTAATGCTGATGATCAAAAGATTCTACAGAATGTAAGAAGAAAATGGAAGAAAATTTCTCTAGTCAAAAGGTAAAGACTTTGAGCTAATTGCTTTTTTCCTCTTCAGATTAGGTCGCAGCCCCCCATCTCCATGTGCTAAGATAAGGATATTTATGGCATTGTGTTAGGAAGGCAGTAAAATTGAGGAAGGGCATTACCTCTCTGATGAACTTGGACTGAGATTTAGTTTACTTCATTGAATTTGACAATATTCAAGGTTCTAATTCTGTTCCTCCCGAGACCATGGGCAAGACAATGTGGAACTCTAAATGTTGGAATTGGAACGAGAGAGCATAGGGAAGCGGTTGCATGAGAAGTTCCTAGGCAAGAGAAAGTGTCAGCTCATAGAGAAGTGCTCTGCTTAACTGGAATATAGGCAACACTATACACTTTTCAGAAGGAAAAGCTGCAGGGGAAAAAAAGGCTGGCAAATAGGTGTAGATGGCAAGCTCAGGTGTTTCTTGAAAATCTGCTCACTGTCACAAATACCACATACGGCACCCAGAGCCACCAGGAAAGTGTTGCACGGCATACACTCTGAAATAACAAGGGCTAAATGAGGTAAACTTCTTTCTCTTATTAAAAGAAAGCCAGGGGTAGGCAGTCCATCCCACAGCGTTGTCAGGAATCAGGTTCTTTTCACTTCCTGCGAAGCTGTCCTTAAGTGTAACTGTAGTCTTCTCTGTCTTTATCCAGAGCAGAGCTTCTGTATCCTGAAAGCGAGAGCTTCCATGGCTAGAGAAAATGAAGAGAGTGGATTTCAGCTTAAGAAATTAGCAATTGACTCTGCAAATGTCTACACTGCACATATTCCTTCCAAGCTCACCAGAGATTTACCTGTAAACACACCTGGACTTTTTCTTATGCGATGTTTTTCTAGACTTCAGCAATATTTAACATCTTAAACACATTTATTCCTCCCCCTCCCTTTCTCCTTCTCCCCTCCTCCTCCTCCTCTCCCCCTATGTATTTCAGGTTAGTTAATCAGGATGTCCTTGGTTCCTAAATGCTGGAACTACCATTGTATGCTAACACACCCAGCTGTAAAAAAAAATCAGCAATGTGTGTGTTTTAAACCAGTGACAAAGATCAAACCCAGGCTCATGTTGTGTTGTGTGGACCCCAAACCATAAAATTATTTTTGTTGCTACTTTATAACTGTAATTTTGCTACTGTTATGAATCGTAATGTAAATATCTGATATGCAGGATATCTGATGTGTGATCCCTGTGAAACAGTCATTTGACCCTCTCAACCCACAGGTTGAGAACCCCTTCTTAAAAAGTCTTTCAAATTCTGTGATTTCTTTCGTCATGCCTTACGACTCTTTTCGTTTATTTCATCCATAGCATCCATACATGTTTCTGAACTCTAGGGCTCATTTCTGGGTTCAGTATCTTCCAATTAGATGCATTCCTTCCTCCTGGGTTCACTTTCCTGTGAATTAAAGACCCATTTATATAATGACAGTTTCTAGATTGACAGTCTCTATTCAGGCCTTTTTCTTGAGTTTCAGACATGCTGATTCAACTGCCAATACAGTATTTCTACCTGGATGAACCACAGGTGCCTCAGAACCAACATTCATTTCCTCTTTGTTTTTGGTTTTTAGAGGCAGGGCTTCTCTCTATTGTTTTGGAGGCTGTCCTGGAACTCACTTTGTAGACCAGGCTGTCCTCGAACTCACAGAGATCCGCCTGCCTCTGCCTCCCGAGTGCTGGGATTAAAGGCGTGTGCCACTAACGCCCGGCTTCATTTCCTCTTAAATCCATTCCTCCATGTCTCAGTGCAGGGGTCCCCATCTACGCTATCAGTTAAAGAAAGATCCCAAGATTTGAATATGTTCCTCCTTCCAATCCATCCCCACACAATCCAATCACTCATCAAGTCCTACTACACACCCCACCCCACCCCCCACCCATCTCCTCGGTATCTCTGCAGCTAACACTCTAGGAGAAACCACAGCACTGCTTACTTGGATGGCTACCAAGGTCATAGCTATGGTCTCTATTTCCATGAAGACACTTAATCCCCACATAACACCTAAGACCTATTTCAATAAAATACACACCTACAACATCCATGTTGTCTCCAGCTCTTTAATAGACCTTCAATACTCTCAGGTTTGGGAACTTCACTATCTTGATATCGAAGGTTTGTCATAACTTGGAAAGGAGAGGAATCTGGGGCTCCAGAATTGGAAGAAAATGAGAGGCTGGTCTAATGTGATCAGCAGAGAAAGCCTAGGAGGCAAGAAAGTGGTAGAGTGACATTATACACTTTGGGGAAGTAACAGTTCACAGAAGATGAAACGGGAGTATATAAACCCGCCTTGATGATGTGTGAAATGCGTGTGAATCAAATGTCTGCAGAGCACAGGGATTTCATTTGTTCAGTATATTTCATTTGTTTAGTAAAGGGAAAGGTAGCCTCATGGAGCAGACTAGTGATCATTTGTGGATAAGAAAGACCTTGAATTTTGTTTCTATAACTGTCATGTAGTACATTATAGTTTCTAATAAACTTTTCTGGGTCTGCATTCATGTGCTTTATTGCCAATAATGATTTTGTCTACTTCTCTTTGTTTTTATATTTTATCTTGTTCTCTTGAAGAGACCCAATTCTTTATGTGGATTTATTAGGTGACAGAAGTGCCATCTCAAAATAGTGAGATTCATTAACGAGGGTGGGTCTGTAAATGCCATAATAAAACTCATTACTTTGTACAATTAACATACGCTGAAAATGGAAGTCCTTTTCAAACTATTTGAATCAGCAAAACATTATAAAATGACAAAAGAGTCCAATATAGACACCAGGATGTGCCTTGAGGATTGTTTGTAATAGTGCAGAAAAAGGGGAAACAATCCAAAAGTACATGCAAGCTGAAACCAAGCAAATAAATTAAAGGACATCAATACAAGAAAACATTATGCACTACTAAGAAAAAAACACACTGAGGAAAAGAGGTCGGAATACGTAACTGAAAAGGGCAGTTGCAGAACAGTAGGTATAGTATATAGCCTGTGTGGAGAGAAAGCACAAATCATCAGACTATGAATAGAAAAAATATGGAGGAATGTCTATCAAAATGTTAATCATGACTATTTTGGGGGAATGAGATTAAACATAGCCTTTCACTGTCCGTTGCATATTTCTGCATTTTCTGATTTTTCACACGACAGCACACTATCTTTGTAGTAAGAGAAAATAATGATATAAAATAAATAAATTAAATGAATGACTCGTTTTCGTTGGGCAGTTTGGGTTGGAAGGGCTTCAGACCGAGCCTGGTACAGTGGCATAAACATGGGCTTTGGCGTCAGACAGCATTGAGCAGGGCCCCATTGCCCCACCCCCGAGGAGGGGGGGGCGGAGGGCAGGGGGCTGCGGAAAGGGGCTGGGCTGGGTTGGGCTGTCTGCAGCTCTAGTCCAGGAGGCTGAGACTTCGAGAGGGACTGAGAGCAGGCACACGCATCCCAGACTCGCTAGAGGACAAGGTGAGGGGACAAGACTGGGCTTTCCTGACGACCAGACAGTGGTTCTAAGCCCCTGCAAACCTACAGCTGGGCAGGTGGACAATTCTTATTTCACTACTGTAGCTTGAGCAGAAGTGTTGCATTTAATGCGGTGTGGGAAAGAGAATGACCAAGAAAGTAGTAGGCTGTAAATGGACTGGACAGCTAAGACTGTCGGAGGTGGAGGAGAGAAAAGGGGGAACTGTGCATGTTGGGAGGAGAACGAGGGATACCGGGGAATGTGAGGGGGGAGACAAGATCCAGAGAGAACAGGGGTGTGCAGAGAAGGGTTAAGGAACATTGGGGTGTGTATGCATAGGTAATACAGACGAGGATGTAAGGAATGGGAAGAGATTTCGTAGAGTAAATAGGATATGCGATGGGAAATAGGGAGCCCGGAGTCAGGCAGAGGGAATAGGGAGGGGGGGGATAAGGAGTGATGAGGGGGGAAGGGCAGACGGGCTGGGACGGAGGCCCCCAAGGGAGGCGGAAAGGGGCGGGACCACTTCCGGCCTTTAGTGGGGAGGGCAGTATCTTGAGTTTCGGAGGGGCTTGGAGAGAGTGGACGCCTTCGGGAATTGTAGAAGGACGAGGTGAGCCATGGGCCCCAGCTTTGGATGAGAGCCTGCTAGGGGTCGGCCCCACCCTCTGGGATCTGGAGAAAACCTGCCTTAAGAGCCAAATCTTACCGAATCCATCCAGCTAGGAAGGGAGGGGACTGGACCCCGTTTGGCTGGGCCCAAGATGGAATCACTAGTTCAGTCCTGAGTTGAGGAGGGGGTGTTACAGGGTAGGAGCCAAACCAATTTGGGTTTTACCGTTTGGAGGGGGGCGTGTTAGGATAAAGGGCGGGACTTGGAGGCTCTGTGAAATTGATAGGGTGGATGTGAGTAGGGGAGGGGCTGGGACCACCAGACACTGCGACAATTTGGAAGGAAGGCTTGTTGGGGAGGGGGCGGGGCCGAACAGCATTGCGGACCTAGAAAGGGGCGTGTGGAGGGGTTGGGAGCTGGACGGAGACCGTGGCTATTGCGCATGCGCTTTATGTATAGCTAGAAAGGGGCGTGTAGAGAAGGGCTCGCAGGGAGACAGGGCCTGCTGCTGAATGCGCATGTGCACGGTGGACTTCAAAGAACGGGTTTGTACTGGGAAAGCAGGCGGGGTTGAAAGGGCGCTGCAGCAGACGCGCATGCGCATTGCAGGCCTGCGGCTGTGGGGGGGTGCGCTGGGAAAAGGGGGCGGGGTCCTCAGAGCTGCCGCGCTGGCACATCTTCCTGGAGGAGGGGAGGGTGCGGCTGCAGAGAACTGAGACCTAAAGACTGAATTTCTGTATCTGAGAACCTACTGGTTGGGGCTCGGGGAGGGACTGGGCTGTGGGGCCCTAGAGAAGGTGAGGATCAGCTTGTAGGCAGAAGAAGGGATACGGCGTTCCGCGGGTTCTCCACTTGACCCAGGCCTTCTCTTCAGACTCAGCTTTGTCGGGTGAACTTGAGACATGTCTGAAACAAGTGAGAGTGGTGTGGGTCCAACTCGCTTTCAGGTAAGACCAATTTTTGCCCTCTCTTCCTTACTGCTTTGCCTTTCCAGCCCCCTTCGCTGCTCCAAATCCTTGGAGCTTTTCCTCCCATCCTTGTCATTCTCCACCCCCTTCTTTGCCGGGGTGCATCCCCTCTCCCCAGAGGAGGGGAGGCCAGGAGACCAGGAGGAAGGGAGAGGGGGTGGGTGGGCCCTTGCACTGTCATTACTTTTTACTAAGGGGAAGGGGAGGCCCTTTTAATAGCGGTGGTCAGTGCACACTGCAGGTAAGGAGTCTTTACGGGTCAGAGAAATGTTGCCTCTGTAAGTGTTGTTGGGGAGCATTTCTATAGTTGAGGGTGGGGAGAAGGTCGGTGAACTTCTCTGCTTCCAATGCAGGGAAAAGCTTCAGAAAAGGACAGCGGCTCCGTGATGCAGGACCTGTTGCCTGTGACCCAGAACTTGGAGGTCTCAGAGACACCGAAGGCTGAAAAGGCACCAGAGAGCTCAGAGGCTGCAAAGGTCCCCAAAGCGTCTGGGAACCCGAAAGCCACAGAGGTCTCGAAGGCCCCAGAGGCTCCTGAGGCAGCTGCCACCCAGCCTTCAACTACCACACAGCTGACTGATACCCAGGCTCTGGCAGCTGAAAACAAGAGCCCAGCAGCTGACACCAAGACTCCGAAGGCTGACCTGCAGGCTATGACAATGCCTGCAACCCAGACCAAAAAGGTCAGCTGTGTTACTGATCCGAAGGTCAGCACAAAGGCCCCTGAGACGGAGGCTGCTGACTCTCAGGCTGGAGCAGATGAACCAGAGCCTGAGGGTGCAGCTGTCCAGGTCCAGGAGAATCAGGATACTCGGCCCAAGGTCAAAGCCAAGAATACCCAAAAGGTAAGACCGCTGCCACAGCTGCCCTTGCTTCTCCACATTCATCATGTCATCTGGTTCATTTGTTCTGCAAACGGTAAAAAACTCCTGCCCTCATGAAAGACACAGGGAACACGAAGAGGAATGTGTTACAGTTCTTACATCCACAGAGCTCACAGGCTTGTGCGTAGATACGACAGGAATATGCCTAGCTGCAATCTGTGATGCAGTTTATATTTATGCAGTAGCTGTCCACTCTGGGCCTTGAGTTGGGCATACGCATATGTGTAGTCTCTTATCTGAAAGTAGCTCCTATGGTTTCGTTCTACAGAGAAGGGAAATAATGTCCAGAGAGAGGACTAGTCAGGTTGGTATAGCAGAGTCAGTGGTGAACATAGGAAGAAGAAAAGCCTCATGCCTTATTCCTGATCCACTCAAGGAGGAAATTCCCAACTGGTACTTGGTGATAAGCCCATGACTCAGGATGGCTAGTGTATAGTGAGACAGACTATTCCGACAAGGGCAGGATTAGGGGTACATCCCAGAAGAGACAGGCTTAGGGGGTGCTTTCCAGAGGAGACTGAGTTAGGAGAAAGAACCGCCTGCTTCACTTGCTGATGTTGGTCCTCCTCTCTGGTGATGCAGGTAAAACACGTGGATGGGGAAGAGGATGGCAACAGTGATCAGAGTCAGGCTTCGGAAACCACAGCTGGTCGGAGGGTCTCAAAGGCCCTAATGGCCTCCATGGCCCGCAGAGCTTCAAGGGGACCCATAGCCTTTTGGGCCCGCAGGGCATCAAGGACTCGGTTGGCTGCTTGGGCTCGCAGAGCTTTGCTTTCTCTGAGGTCACCTAGAGCTCGGAGAGGCAAGGCCCGAAGACGAGCTGCCAAGCTGCAGTCTGTATCCCAAGAACCTGAAGCACCCCCACCTAGAGATGTGGCCCTTTTACAAGGAAGGGTATGAACTCCATCCTCTCCAATCCCACTTTTTCCACTGCCTTGCCTGACTTCTCTGTTATGCCTTGGAGTTTTCTGCAGATTTTTTTGCTCTTTTCACCATTTCCTTCTCTCCTAGGCAAATGATTTGGTGAAGTACCTGTTGGCTAAAGATCAGACGAAGATTCCCATCAGGCGTTCAGGTAAAGTCCTACAAACAGGTTCCCTCTCCTGACCTCTGCCTTCTCTCCAGTGTGCCCAGGACATCCTTCCGTCTCCTGTTCCTGTCTCTTCTCCCAAAGTTCTCCAAGTAGGGGCATCTTTATTGATAGGCCCAAAACCTGATTATACCACCCATGGCATGGGCAACAAAGGGTCTGTAGGTTGGGCATGAGGGTTATCTGGTATCTCTACAGCGTCGATGCTTACAATACTCTCCTTTTGCAGATATGCTGAAGGACATCATAAAAGAATATACTGATGTATACCCTGAAATCATAGAACGAGCAGGCTATTCCTTGGAGAAGGTGAGGGGGCAGCCCTGGAGGATGGGGAAACCTTAATTAGAAGAAAGGTATAGGATCACCCTCCTGGCGGGAAGCACAAAGACCTAATCCATTCCCATCACTGTGCAGATGAGCACACAGTGGCATAGGGAGGGGCAGCCACTGATCACACAGCAAGTCAGTGGTGGAAACACAGCTAGTACTAAAGCTACACAGCTTAGTCCTAGCTTCTGTCTGCTGCTGGCTAGTCTCATGTATTGCTGATGCTCACCTCTCCATCTACCTAAATTCCTACTGATCACAAAGATGCTATGGATGACCACCCTATGTTAGTTACATGTATAATGTACACTTAGCTATGTGCTTTATAACCGTATTCTGTTAATTTCTCTCTCACATACACAAAATAATCTTTGACTATTATGAGGAGCCACAGGATGCCTGGGAAGCTGGATTTTGTGAATTTATAAGCTATTATCCTCATCCACAGGTATTTGGAATTCAGTTGAAAGAAATCGACAAGAGTGACCACTTATATATTCTTCTCAGTACCTTAGAGCCCACTGACGCAGGCATACTGGGAACGTAAGCTGGGGAAGTGCTAGGGTGGGAAGGGGCTTCTTGCTTCCTCTTAGAAGCGCAGGAAAGAGGGTCTAAACGCCTGTGTCCCAGCTCCCACACATGGCTAGATCCCTGTGAGCAGTAGTGGTGCCAGACTATATCTGACATTAGGGTTTCAGAGCCTGGAGCGGGCATTCCTGCTGTCAGGTTTGCTTTCTCTAACAAGCTCCCCGAAAATTTGGCTGTTGTCACTTGTCTCTTTTACTGAGTACCTGGCCTGGCTGTGGAAGGGTGACTTTTAAAGGTGGGAGGGATTTTTGGTGTGGACCATGATGCTTGAGAGCAGGAGTGTCACTAGGGTTCCATCTAGAACTTCTCAGGGCCCAGGGGACTATGGGAGAGAAAGAAAAGCCTCCCTCTGACTGAGTGTCCATGTGGTAGACAGGGATTCCTCCATGTCCTGCTAACCCTGGGTAGGGATAGTATGTGGTTTCCCTTTATGCTGGAGACCTTGGCTCAAGAGCAAAAGCAGCTTGCCTTAGGTCATAAATAGGGGGACCACAGAGTAGGCCAAATTCTCTGTATCTGAGGAATCGAGGAGAGGCTGGTCTATTGAGCTGTCTTGTATAGATGATGGCTCATGAACACAAACTTTCTGTCCTGTTATTCTCTTAGGACAAAGGACTCACCTAAGCTGGGTCTCCTCATGGTGCTTCTTAGCATCATCTTCATGAATGGAAATCGGTCCAGTGAGGGTGAGTGGCTGGGCATGCAGTTGAATAGGTTGCTGTTGTCTGAATTCCAGGTGCTCATTTTCTGTGCTTGTCTCCTTGCCTCTTCTTGCAGCTGTCATCTGGGAGGTGCTGCGCAAGTTGGGGCTGCGCCCTGGGTATGATTGGGCTCTCTCAGCGCTTGCTGTCCATGTTGTCTTTTGGCAAGAGAGGACGGTCCCAGGATTGCATCAGCCTGGTGGTCTGATGAAGCATGGGGTGGGGGTAGGGGTGGGGGTGGGGAAAACTGGGCTGGGTAGTGGACTCAGGGTTCTGACCTACATGGATAGGGAAATGCCTCTCATCTCTGCTCACCTTCTCACCATCTCTTCAACATCCATGGAGCTTTCTCTATACTGTAAATCTATTTTCTGTCATGGAAATGCCTCTGCCAGCACTTGGGAAGTGTAACAGATCTGGTTATATTTATTTGCTTATTCAGCTTTCTGTGTTCTCAGGATACATCACTCACTCTTTGGAGATGTGAAGAAACTCATTACTGATGAGTTTGTGAAGCAGAAGTAAGTGCCTATGTCTTGTGTGCATGTGTTTGTGGTCTGAAGGTGTGCATGTGTGTATGCTGTTGGCAGGTTATTTCTGGAAGCAGTCACAGATTTCTGTTTCAAATATGGCTTCAGAACAG